CAATTTTAGGGTATAAGGATTGTAAATGACTGAACTACATTAGTGAACTAAATGAGATAAAGAAGTTAGCACAGAAAAGTTTATAAAAAAAACACGTAGATGTATTTACAGGTATTGGCTGTTTTCCAGATAAAGGTAAAACATGGAAGTGTACCAATAATAAATAGTCCCAGAGGTGTCCCCATAAAATTAATGGGAAAATTAAAGGAACTTTTAAAAATGTTATGTTCTAAGAAAATAATTGAGAAAAGTTAAGAGCCAAGTGAATGGCAAAACAGTTAAACCAGATAAATCACTTAGAATGTGTTTAGACCCTAGGGAATTGAATAAGAATATTGTGAGATAAACGGTTTAAATTCCAACCCTAGATGAAGTTAGAAATAAATTTATGAATAAAAAATTGTATACACTAGTGGACTTGAAAGATGGGTTTTATCAATGTGAGTTGGAAGAAGGTTCAAAAAGATATTGTTCATTCAGTACACCATATCGTACATACAATTTTAATAGACTACCATTCGGAATAGCGTGTGCACCTGTATTGTTCCAGCAATTGACAAATAAATACTTTGGAGATATGTGTGTGTGTACATTGATGGCATTTTAGTTTATGGTAAAACAAAGGAAGAACAGGATGAGGCTCTTCAAAAAGTAATGAATAGGACCAGGTTATTAAATATAAAATTTAATCCAAATAAAATACAATACTGAAAAAATGAAATAAAATATTTAGGTTTGAAATTTAGTGAAAAATGAATAGAACCAGATGAAGATAGAATAAAAGCCATATTAGAGTTAAAAAATCCTATTAATTTGAAAGAACTGCAATCAGTATTAGGAATGGTGAACTATTTAAGGGCATTTATACCAAATATAGCAGATATAGTAGAGCCAATGAGAGCTTTATTAGATAAAGATAGCAGGTGGTTATGGAGTGATAATTGTGAAAGGTTATTTAATACATTAATACATTAAAAAGCATTTTATCAAAAATTCCCATTTTAGCCAATTATGATGCCAAAGATGAGTTCAGAATTCAATGTGATGCATCACAAAAAGATATTGGATGTTTTCTATTTCAGAAAGATAAACCCGTGTATTATGCATCTAAATGTTTAAGTATAACTGAACAGGGGTATGCTCAATTTGAAAAAGAAATGTTAGCAATTAAGTTTTCATGCATAAAATTTCATAGGCTTATTTATGGACAGAAAGTAATTAAGATACAAACGGATCATCAACGGTTGATTCCAATAATGAATAAAAAATTAAATAAAATACCTAATAACAATTAAAAGAATGAGGGTACGCTTGATGATTTATAACTTAAAGGTAGAGTACTGTTTAAGGAAATATTTATATGTAGCTGATTTGCTAAGCAGAAATTAAAAAAAACAAAAAATTGAGAAAACAGATGATACCCATAAAGATATTGTACATACTATAGAGGTTGTTAACTTAAAATTTAAAAATAATAAAGAGGGTGAATTTAAAAAAAGTTATATTAGAAGATAATACATTAAAATTAGTAGAACAGTATCTAAGAGAGGAATGGCCTAAAAAAATAAATAGTCTAAGAAATATAAGACACTATCATAAATAAGAAATGAGTTAATGTTGGAAAAAGGTTTAATTTATTATGGATGTCGTTTGATTGTACCTAGAGTTATGTGTAAGTACATTATTGAAAAACTACATGAAACACATTTAGGTATAAACAAAACTTTGAAAAAAGCAAACAAATTTTTTTTGGCCTAGTATGGCATCATATATAACAAATGCAATTAGTATATGTGAAACTTGCATAAAATTTAGTATCAAAAAAATTAAAGAACTATTAAAGAACTAAAACAGCATGAAAGATTTTCCTTTTTCTTTTCAAAAAGTAGGTTTAGACATAGCAAAAATATTTGGTAATAATTATCTTATAATAATCCACTATTATTCCAAATGGTTAGAAGTATTAAAATTAAAAGACAAATCAAGTCAGTCAGTTATTGAATTATTAAAAGTTGTGTTTAGTAGGTTTGGAATTCCCAAACAAGTAGTTGCTGATAATAATCCTTGTGGCTCACAAGACTTAATAACATTTGCCACACAGTGGCAATTTGAGGTAATATTGTCTAGTCCATACTATGCAAAAAGTAATGGCTTGGCAAGGAAAGCAGTAGGGATAGCGAAAGGGATGATTACCAAAGCTAGATATGAGAAAAAAGATTTCAATTTATTTTTACTCAATTATAGAAATACTCCGGTGGCAGGTTTGGAATACTCATCTGCATAATTATTATGGCAAGGGATGCAAAAAACAAAAAAATTATCAGTATGATAAAATTGCAGGGCCCAAGGAAAAACAATTTACAGAAGGTAAAAAACTTTATATATAAAATAATTTTAAGAAAGAATGGGATTAAGGAGAGATTGTAAAGAAAACAAAATGGCCCAGGTCATACTATGTGAAAAATGCAAAAGGGAAAGTATTGAGAAGAAATAATTGTTATATAAAAAAGAAATTTAAGATTAAGGACAAGTTTATTAATGATGATGTTATGAATATAGATAAAAAGAGGATGATGATAGTAAGAAAGATAACGATAAAGATGACAGTAATGAAAATAAAGGTTCTGGGAGTCAGATGTTAATCACTGGCAATAATAACAGAAAACAACTAGAGGATAGTAAGAAAAAAGAAGTGACAGGGTGTATTAAAACAAGGGCTGGTAGACAAATTAAAAAACCGAATAAACTTAATTTGTAGAATCTTAAGAACTAGTAATTAGTATTTGTATTGTTTAGTTAGTAAGCAATATATTTAAGTTTTGTAATTTTTAAGTATACAACATATTGTGTACCTATATTTATTAAGTTTCTATATATTGTATTCCTAAAGAAGGAGATGTTGTAATGATAAGACTAGGATAAAATTATGATAAGATTGTGATAAGCACGACACATGATATAAGTTATTNTAAAAGATAATTAAATATAAATCAGCGTGTATGTGACACGGACGGGGAAGATATATTTTGTACAGGTATACGAAATACATGCTATGTATAAGATACGTGGAAATATCATCTTGTGATAACAGTAGGTATAACATAAGGTATAACGATAAGTATAATCGTGATAAGATAAAATATGGTATAACTTGTGATAACAGTATGTATACCGATATATTAATATGTACAACGATATGTGTATAACGAGATAAGGTATATCTCTTGTAATAACAGAATGTAAAACAGTAGATATAATCGTGATAAGATAAATCTTTTTCAGCAAAACATTTGGACAAGGAAAAAGCTTCTAATAACAATAATTCTTGTAGTGCAACTTTTGATCTACAAAGTGTTTTACAAATCCCATACCCTGATATGTCCAGTATGTCTTATAGTAGAAAAATATGCACCTATAATTTAACATTGTACGATGCTGCGCCCCTAAACCGTGTTTTTTGTTTGTAGACGGAACTTAATGGACAGAAAGGAAGCTCTGAAATTGGTACCGCTGTATATAAATGGATTCAACAGCTCTTTAAAAATATAGCGGAAATATCCTTGTATTCCGATACATGCAATGGTCAAAATCGAAACCAGTTTATAGCAGCTTTATTTCCAAATATTATCACTTTGGAAATATATATATATTATATAAATATATGTTGTCACTCATTCAAGGATCGAAATTATAACACACAATTTTATGAAAAGCGGAAATTTTTACATGGAAGTAGACAGCATGCATAGCATAATAAAATCAGCTAAAAAAGATGTTCCAGTTTACACTATGCATAATTGGCTAACTATTTATCGTCTTCCTCGTTCAAATAGACACAATAAAAAATGTTCAATTACATAGTGCAAGAACTGAAGTACACAGATTTTTTAGATTTAAAAATTTTAGCAAATATGATAATGAAAAATCGTTTCTTTGATATGCAAGGTAATAATGTAAACTAGTTAAAGATTAAAGTTTTGAAATATTAAAAAAATATACAGAGTGTAATTCAGTTCAAGTATAATTATTCTGATAAGGAGATTAATATTACTTTAATATTACATTAATATTAATACTTATTAGTAGAAAAGTTAGGCCAACAAAGTTTCCTGATAATTTGAAAAACTTGTACGCCAAACCCCTACCAATACAGCACTTAAAAAATTATTTAATGAAACTATGTAAAACTCAAATTATACCAGAAGAATTCCATGAATGTATATAATTATACCATCATATCCCATAAAGAAAGATACTGTGATACTATCTGAATCTGAAAATGATTCTAATTAATGACTGAATATTATAAATAGGTGTTTTTAAATGTATTAAGTAATTACCTTAATTTATAAGTTAAAAGTGATTTTGTTTTTCATAAAAATATTTTTTTATTTATCATTTTAAGTTTAATCTTTATTTTCAAATAATTAATTTGTTTTAAAAGTGATATAACATTTTTATATTATTTGTTTATTTCTAGTTATTTCAAAGATTTGTTGTTAATAAGGTTGTTATTTTATTTCATAATATGAAAATAATAATAATATTATGATGTCTTCACATAAAATGAACAAGTTATGTTATGTTTCCTATGTAAACTATAAAGTAAAAATAAAAGTTTGTTGTTTGAATTATGTTTATGTATAAAAATCATTGTAATATTAATACAGTTATTATCATTTAAAACATAGGAAAAAACTAGTGACCAAGTGTATTATACTTGTGACTTGGTCACTTTTTAAATGACCAAGTAAAACCATTTTCACTTGATCACTTTTTGTCATAAAATTAAGTTAGTAATTTATAATTTAGTACTTATAGAAATAATTATTGTGTTAAACAACTATTCCGTATTGTTAAGTACACTATTGCTATATTATTGGTATCAAATTAATAAACATTGGTTAAATTCTCGATTTTTAAATAAGCGTTCAACTTTAAAATTGACATTACTTAAAATTTTAAATAAACACTTGGTCATTTTTGGCACGAGCATGATTACATTTTCGAAATTAAAATGATATCATCCATACTAAGATAATCATATAATTATATAAACTGTATTCAATTTAAACGAAAACATTAACTAAAATATTTAAAAAAAAAAAAAAAACGATGAAGAAAAACAGGAAAACATAAAAAAAGTATAATGTAGTTAAAATAAATTGTGGCATTCTTTTTTTCTATGCACAACTTGTCTACCAACAATTTTGCTCCAACTTACAATGATATCAATTTTCGGAAATTTGATTGGGAAGGTACTTTAGGGAGGCCATTTTTTTTATTTTCCAAAGAGTTTTCCCAATAAATTTACAAAACCTAGATAAAACATGGAAAAATGTAGGAAAAGTGGAAAAATCGGTACAAAAATAAACAAATACTATTAAAGAAAATTTACGATAAATCAAATTCTAAAATTAAAAATAAATCTAATAATTTAGTTTTATATTATAAGATATCAACAAAAGTCATAGATTTTATACCCTGATTATTACGATTATCAAAGAGAATAGAATAAATACCTGAATACATTCTTTATATACCCTTTGATATATTATTAGTTATAATTTTATTTTATTTTTCTTATTATAGACTTGTAATTCATCTACTTCTAAATGTGATTTACATCGCATGCCATTTTTCATTGTCTTCCCTCTTTATTTCGACTTGAAATGATGTTATGAGTAAAGGTTTTATATTTTCCTTGGAGCAATATCTTGTTTACACTTGCAAATTTGTTTTTCGAATATGTTGTTGATACAATTTCCTTATCATTATAGATTATAGATCAATATAGATAAGAATTAAGAATATCAAATCATAATAGTAGTATGAATCACGTGAACAATAATTCATACATTAAATGCAAATATATAATATAATAAAAAAAACAATTGATTACTGTATCAATTATCAGTATCATGTACCAGTAATAGTATACATAGTGTCAACCAAAAAAACAAAATTGGCCAATTCTTATAGAACTGATAATGGGTAAGGTCTTATTTCAATAACAACTATATTTTGTAATATAATTTTTTGATTGTTTGGTTTTAGGAAATTATATTTTATTATTACTGTTTTAAATTTAATATTTTAATTTTTTGTGTTGTTTGTATTGTTTTGTATTATTTGCCAGTATTGGGAAAGTTCCTTTTTAAACAGAACTCGTTCATTTACTAAAATAATAACTCGTTCCGTACCTATTTAAAGATGGAACTTGTTCCAGATCCGGTTCCTTTAAAAAAAGAACTTTCTACTTTTCGTTCCTTTTTTGTAACAAAGTTATTTAAGAAATTATTATTATTATTATGAATTAGATTATAACGAAAGTTTAATCATCGTGTGATTTCAAGATACGCTTTTCGTCAAATAATTTATTTAATATCATTAAAGGCTATATTAATATCAAATTAATACCTATATTAAATAATAAATAATTTAAATATTTTATAATATAAAAATCAGTTTTAAATATCAATTGCCATCGGTGGTAATGGTATTTAATTTATAATATTATGATAATGGTCAACGATAATCCTCATCAGTAGTTGAAAATGAAACAAATTTGTGGTATTCCTTATCTAAAAATATTGGAAAATAAGATTTGTATGGCAGCAAGCAACTGATGTCTATTGTCAATATACAAATTAGATATAATAATTCGGAAAACCCAAAACCTTTAACATACGACCATTAACAAGAAACAACGATAATATCGAATAGTCACCATAAATTTATTATTTAAAATATATATTAATACATTTGTCATAATAACAGTATTTATAGTCAATCGATTAATTTTAATAGCCTTCGATATTCGCTGGGGTATGTAAGGGTCGTTCCATTATCAATAGTCAACGTAAATTAACTAAAACTAACTTAAATAACTTCTTATTTATAATAAAGAAAATTAGATTAAAATATATTCAAATTTAAATTTTAAAACTTTTGAGGAACTGCAATTTTCATTCACGTTCCTCAAAAAACAGAGTTTGTTCATTTTCCTCATTCCTAATTTTAAAGGAAGCAAATCCTAACTTCGTTCTTATACAAAGAACTCGTTCTATGAATCCGTTCCTCTTGGAACTTTAAAATAGCTGTTTGCGTTATTATTAATTTAAGTACTATAAAGACATTAATTAATGTAATTAATTTAAAAAAAAATGGTTTCACTTATTATAAAATCATTAATCGGTGTTGGTATTAGTAACCTAGCCTATCAAAATTTTGACAGACGAAACTAGGAAAATCAGAACATTTTACATTTCCAAGTTTTAATTTTTCAAATTTTGAGTTTCAAAGTTTTTCTAGCCGTACAAAAAATTGTGTTTGACACATGAACGCCGCCAGCACATTTTATATTGGTTATGATGGTTATTGTTGTTTAACAGATGGCGCTTTTGACTGTAGTTTTTTCCTAGTTCGAAATTTTCATAACAAATTCGACTACGAATAATGACTCCATCGCCTGTTCATATAGTCTAATATCTTAGTTTGTATTAAAATCAGTTTTCCCAAAAATAAATTTAATTTACATCTGTACAGAACGATTCGAAACGAAGTTTCTTTATACATGTACGTACATTTTAACCGTTTTTCTTACGTTTTTCACAATATTTTGTAAAACCTAAAAATTATTTCTTTAAAGTAACAAATAGATAAAATTTCCTTTCGTAAAAATGACTCACTTGATGTACCATAGCAAGATATCTGGTAGAAAAGTTGCTCACCAAATAAAAAAATTAAACATCATTGTAAAACTAATACATTTCTCGTTATGCTCTGAATATAAAATACTGAAAGTTTAAAAATAGAAACTTTAATTTATTTCTGTTCAAAAATTGTATAGCACCTTTCAATACTTCTAAAATCATTTTTTATGTTTTGTAAAATTTTAGTGTTTCTACCTTAAATATAGCACGAAAAAAGTTGTCCCTCATAAGTTTTTACGAACGAATCATGAAAGTTATCGAATCACGACTGTTTTATCTTATAAATGATAAATATATATATCTTTCCTTTCATAATTGTGTCATAAGCAATCTGTAGTTCATTGGTCGTATCGTAAGCGATCAACAATAATTGTATTTTTATAATCAACAGTTTTTTTGTTGACCACTAACAATAATTGAATATTGTACGTCAGTCATGAGATAAATTTATAAGAAGGTGCAAACATTTTATGTGATCGAATGAGGCGAACAAATTGATTGAACTGAGAAAAGTCGGATAATATAGCTAGTAAATAGTATTATGTACATAACTACTCACTAATATAATATAACTTATTTAAGTTTTAATCGTCCAGTTTTATACTATTTTTTTTAACCATACTTATTACTACTTATACAAATTCAAATATTTTATTTACAAAATTTAAGTTATAAAATACCTTAATATGTAAATTCTAATTAGGCCGGTTATGGATTAAAAGTGTTTGAGAGTGCAAAATTACACCCTGCCACCTCCCAAAATGGTCTCTGATTCTAGTATCAACCGTAAACCTGGAGTGCCAGTAAAAGTTTGAATAGTCAATATTTGAAAGAGCGTTTCTTCAAATCTGATTTCATTTGAAACGCTATTACCATATACGACATGAGTCAAAATCATCAAGAGTTTCAACTCATAATATTTTTAATTTATCATTATTTTAATCCTTATTAACACGAATTATCATTTTATTTAAACTCTAATCATTTTAAACTTCTTTTCCATGACGGACTCGCAATATAAAATACTACAATTGTATTATCTACTTTAAATATAATGTCATTTCAAGTGTATTTTTTATAGAATGACAATCACGTGCAATGTCTTTTCAAATAAAGACAATTTAAAGTTTGTTGATTCGTGGCAGTGTAAATTAAAGCGCATTTTGTTAAAAACAAAAAAATGCGATTAGAATAATATATGATGATGAATCAATCCAACATTTTTCAAAATTTTGGTATGCACCCGGTGTATGATTTTTGGTAGCTAAAAATTGTTTCGGTTGTTGATGCTACGCAAGCTATAAATTATGCTGGTCAAGCCTAAAACGATATTTTGACCATGACTATTTATCTGTTTAGGCAACACGCTTAATGATTGAATAAATATTTATAAATAAAAAATATTTATTCAATATAAAATACTCAGATAAATTTCTGAGTATTTAAAACTAATGCTAATTAAGAATAATTCTCAATACAATTAAAACCTATTTAATAAAGTTTATTTTAATAATTATTGTATAAACTAGATGTATGTTTTTCTTTTGTCAAAGTTATGATACAATATAAAAAAAAACAAAAATAGTGTTTCTTAAACGTTGATGTACAGTCTAAATAATTATTGCTTTGTCCACTCCTAATCAACCTATTTACCTATCATAACATTTTGTACAGATATTGTGTTCTGTTATCCATGTATTAATTTTTTAATATCTGTTTAGAGACCCGGTTCCAGTTTTTTCCTCCCCAGAAAATTACCTTATGGGTTATGGTGCCTATTATTACTTCATGTTTTTCAGTTTTTTTTTTTTTTCATTGGTTCAACATTGTATTTGTTCTTTAATAAGTATGCAGTCAATTACAGTCAATTTTTTTAAATTAAAAATTTTTATTTTTTTAGCTTAAATGTAGGTAGTTAATATTAATATTTATGATTATATGTAGCACCTTTGCGATAATGATACAATAATAGTGACATTACAACTTTTGTACTGTTACCTACCATACCATTTATGACATCAGGTATCTAAATACTACTATGTTTACAAATTANAAAATCAAGAAATTATTGATTGATTTGAATGGAAATAAAATGTATTTATGTTTTATTAAACACAATAAAGTGCCTATTTTCAATGTAAAAATAATTCCTTCCTACCTCCACTCTGAATTTTCTTGTTTTAATTAACAGGTATGAATAATATTATTCTTATTTCAATATTTTATATAAATATATAATTAATAAGTAATAAATTATCTTTATAGTAAATTATTGTAAATAAGGAATTATTTCCTGAGAACTTCAAAATGGCTAAAAGGTCTAAAAAACCTAAACTAGTTTTAAAAAAACCTCTTGCCAAAGTCAGTAAACATAATGTGTTAAACGAACATAATTACTCTTTGGCTTCGAAAAAGATTTGCATTATGAAAATATCACAAGATTTGACAAATACACAAATTGTAAATAAAAAAGTAACTGATAATAACGAATGTGGTTCAGTACCAGATTGGCTAAAGTATCATAACTTATCAAGTGAGGAAGAAGATGACTGTGAAGAGAAAACTGTTTCTCAATTATTAATAATGGAATTTCAAAAAGACTCTGGAAATTCATATAAGGTATACTTAAAGTATCTTGTTTAAGTTTTAATGCATTTTAATCTGATAGGATTTCAAAAACAGCTATTCAAAAATAATGTTTTCAGATTTGCTTTATTAAATAACAATTCAATTGTTTTTAAAAGTCCCAACATATTGTTAAGGTTGTTATTTTTAAACATACAACTATCATATACAATATCTATAATTTTAAATTCCTAATGAATCACTCATTTATTGCTCAATAATATAATCGTTATTTGTAATTGAAGTTGTATTTGTGAATTATAATTAAATAAAAAATTAAGTCATAAAATAATTTTGTGCTATTTTAGATTCAGAGTGTAACCACTACTTATCACCAAAACTTTTAAACCACTTTTGATCTATTATGGAATCTTATTCTTTGGGAGTTTTTTTATTGTCATTAGGGTTTAAATACATGTAGAGACTTGAAACTTTGTAATAATATTTTTATTAGACTTATCTAAAAGTGTTAAAATTTCCACAATCATCTGTCAATTTTTTCTTAATTTGTGTTTTAAAATCAAATTTAGAAGAAAATCTCAAATATTATGTAATACCAAACTGCACTCAGAATCGTTTTTCATCAAGCAATGGCTTATCATTGTTTACAGATATAAATTAAATAACCTTATGTATTTTACCTTCCCAACTTCTCACCTACAACAGTGGCCACTTCCATCCCCAGTATCAGCTCTTTTTTCTTATTGCAGTATTCAATGTGTGTACAACTACACATTATATATTATTATTAGTATTAAGTATTAGTCTTTATAGGTAACTACAATTAACGGTTTTGCATTACATAGAATTACAAAGATAGTAATTTTATACACATGCTATTATATATTTATAACTAATTATTTTAGGTTTGTCCTCCTTTTGATTGGATCCATCTTATATATTTAACTGTAAAGAATTGCACTGAAGAATACGTAACATGTCATGATGTAGACATATTTTGCAGGTTTATTCATTTGATTCTTAACTTTATTTTTAATATATAAATTTATATATTGTTATTATTTATAGACATTGGTTCCCATATTATTTAAACAAATCATGGATTAACAATATTAGTTCAGTATTAAACTGTCCCAGTAATAAATATTTTAACTGTTCATCTATGGTTTTATTTGGCAAATCTGTTAGGTGGGCTGTTAATATTGAATCGGTGAATATTTTGGAGGATTCATTGATGTCTATAGTTAAGAAACATGAGGAAAAAATAAAATCAGCAATGAGATATCCTGGTATCTTATATTAATATAAATAATATAATATAATTTATATTAAACATATCTACAATAGGTGAGAACTTACAAATAAGAATTTATTTAATTTCAGATAAACTACCTACAATATTGAGAGGATATGGTGTGCATTATTTGGGATATAAATGTTTCAATATTTTTGGTTTCAATAATTTAGTTTCCAATAAAAATATACCATTTAAGAAAAGGAAACAATGATAAGTGTTACTGTATTGACTTGATAATCTAAATGTAAAAGAAGAAAAAACTTATATATGGATCTACATTTTCAAAAAATTTATTCTTTTTTTGATGTATATAGTTTATACATTTTTAAATTTAATTTTTAAGTATACATTTTAAAATTCCGAATATGAAAACTTTATTATTATATTAAATTTCATATAAATATTATTATTCTATAGGTAAATAACTGTAGATAATCTAAAAATGGAATTTACACTTGAAATAATTTAATCTATTCGCCATCAAGTAGTCAATTAAAGATTCATAGATATAAATTAGAAATAGTAATTTGCAACACAAGTGTAGATATTGCATTTTTTTTTTTTTTTTTTTTTTTTATTGATATTGTATACAAATAATATTTTTCTTAACCCTTATTTTGTTATAACATTATGTTTAAATTATGCTTTTTATTTATATGCCTCTATTATTTTTCTGTCTTCCTTGTCTTTTGTTTTGATAGTTCTTAAAAATATTGTTGATTGTATACAATATTTTTAATTTGTATGGTTATTGAAATATATGTGATATTGATTAAAAGGAATTTGAATCTATTTCCGTTACCAATGATTTTTTAAATTTTAAAATGATTTTTTTCATTGAATTAATTGTTTAAAGAAGATATACTTAGACATAATGATTTTTATGTTAATTTAATAATAATAATAGTAAAATAATTTTATTTATGCATAGTCTATGTGCTTCATCGATTTAACACTAGCATATTATTTTATAACTAGAAAAAAAATATTTCTTTTAAATATTGTATAAGTTTTAGTTTATAACATTAATGTAAAATAACATTAATATTAAATTTACATTTCTGATATACAGTATATATTTAATGAATTACATTAAAATAAAGTAGTATACACACTAGATTTGTGATTATGCAAATTTAATTTGATTGAATTTATTAAAAGAATTATACCAGGTTTCAAGTTTACCACCGACTGTATTGTATACTATTATATTTTTATAATCATTATAGTTATTAAGAACTCAACAATTATAAATAAATTTAAATCTAAATTTTACAAAGTGATTATTACTATTAGTTCATTAATATAAAAATTTACCTTCATCATTAAATCATAACTAAATCATTGACGTGCAAAAATACATTTCTCTTTTCTCTTTTAACTCAATAGCTCAAAAATAAACTCCCAAAATAATATTCATAAATAATTCCATTTAAAAGTCGTATATAATATTATATCTTTTATTCAATTTAACCTCCATGCTTACAAATAAGAGCGTATTTGGGGGGGGGGGGGTTAGAACACCCCCATCGACCGTATTTTGTTACATTTTCACTAAACTCTGAACTTGCTTATTATTTCGAAATTCTGTGAAAGTAATTTATCTGTGTTTTGAAGTATTAGCTTTGAGTTATAAATACAATAAAGAGTATTGGTAATTCTTATAAATTATAATAGTACACAATGTAATCTAATTGACTATATAATATAGACGATAAAAACGACGCCACCATTCGCCGCTTATCAGACCATCAGAGTAAAGTTCCAGACATTGTGATACCACAGACTAAAATTTTGGTCGTATTCCTATGATTATTGCATTTACATAAAAATTAATCATTTATATTTGTATGGATTAATAATCTAACATTATTGATAAATGATAACAAACCATAAGAAGTCTACAATCACTGTTGTTGTTCTGTGCTATTAGTGATAACGATTTCTGCTGTTAATAGTGATATCCCATAAATGTTTGAAAATTCAAATGTATTTTACTCATTCTATTCTACTGTTAATGTTTTATGATTAACAAATTTTACGACTATGGATTATTTTATTAATGTTAAGAAGAGACAACAGAAAATACATACATTTTTTCAAAAAAAACTTAATGTGAAAAGTGAGAAAAACAGTGAAGTCCAAGTAAGCATAATGATTAATGGTACACAAGTAATTTTCTGTTTTTTTCTACAGAAGTATAGTTTATCAATATTTAATTTTAATTTTATTGTTTTGATAGAGTTACAATGATTTCAATTCAAAACATCTATTTAGTCAGTCTAATCTATCAGTAAATAGTATAACTATTGATTGTGAAAATATAACAAATAATCAAGTAAGTGTTTGATTATCTTTCTATCATTATTTTTTTATGTACATATGTGTGTATATATGTGTACATATAAATATCTGTTTGGAAACCCGGTTCAAGTTTTTTTCTCCCCAGAAAATTACCTTATGGATTATGGTGCCAATTGTTACTTCATGTTTTTCAGTTTTTTTTTTTTTCATTGGTTCCACATTGTATTTGTTCTTTAATTAGGTATGCAGTCAATTACAGTCAATTTTTCTAAATTAAAATTTTTTATTTTTTAGCTTAAATGTAGGTAGTTAATATTTATATTTATGATTATATGTAGCACCTTTGGAATAATGATACAATAATAGTGGCATTACAACTTTTGTACTGTTACCTACCATACCATTTATGACATCAGGTATCTAAATACTACTATGTTTACAAATTAATTAATTATAAAAATATATATTAAAATCATTTATATTGATTTATTCTTTTTTCAGATTGTGTTTATTGATAGTGTAAAAAATCAAGAAATTATTGATTGATTTGAATGGAAATAAAATGTATTTATGCTTTATTAAACACAATAAAGTGCCTATTTTCAATGTAAAAATAATTCCTTCCTACCTCCACTCTGAATTTTTTTGTTTTAATTACAGGTATGATTAATATTATTATTATTTCAATATTTCATATTAATATATAATTAATAAGTAATAAATGATTGTAAATTAGGAATTATTTCCTGAGAATTTCAAAATTGCTAAAATGTCTGAAAAACCTAAACTATTTTTAAGAAAACCTCTTGCCAAAGTCAGTAGACATAATTTGTTAAAGGAACATAATTACTCTTTGGGTTTGAAAAAGATTTGCATTATGAAAAGTTCAACAGATTTGACAAATATACAAATTGTAAATAATAAAATGACTTATAATAACGAATGTGATTCTGTACCAGATTGGCTAAAGAATCATAACTTATCAAGTGACGAAGAAGATGACTGTGAAGAGAAAACTGTTTCTCAATTATTAATAATGGAATTTCAAAAAGACTCTGGAAATTCATATAAGGTATACTTAAAGTATCTTGTTTAAGTTTTAATGCATTTTAATCTGATAGGATTTCAAAAACAGCTATTCAAAAATAATGTTTTCAGATTTGCTTTATTAAATAACCATTCAATTGTTTTTAAAAGTCCCAACATATTGTTAAGGTTGTTATTTTTAAACATACAACTATCATATACAATATCTATAATTTTAAATTCCTAATGAACAACTCATTTATTGCTCAATAATATAATCGTTATTTGTAATTGAAGTTTTATGTTTAAATTATAATTNTTTTTTTTTTTTTTTTTTTATTGATATTGTATACAAATAATATTTTTCTTAACCCTTATTTTGTTATAACATTATGTTTAAATTATGCTTATTATTTATATGCCTATATTATTTTTCTGTCATCCTTTACTTTTATTTTGATAGTTCTTAAAAATATTGTTGATTGTATACAATATTTTTAATTTAAATAGTTCTTGAAATATGTGTGATATTGATTAAAAAGCATTTGAATCTATTTCCGTTACCAATGATCTTTAAATTGAGTTACATGACAATCATTAAGTAACACATATTCATACTAGGTCAATAAATTATATTTTTTTGTTAATTATCATTTCCAAAAACATTACTTCATTTTCTAAAAACTATAACTTTCTATCAATAAATTTGATTATTATTTTCCTTGTTTGTTCTAATACCTCATTTAGTGCTACATCGGCCTCTTCTTTTGTTTCCCCACTCACCAATATAACATCAAAATATACACTAACATTTTTTATATCTTCAAAATATTTTGAAGTTAGTTGTTGACAAATTTCTGGAGCTTTAGTTCAATCGAAAGATAATTTTTTGAATTGAAATGAACCAAAACTTTGTTGACTCAGTCTCTTACTAGGACTGATAAAATCCGCCTTAAGGGTCAAGTATTGTAAAATATTTTATATAATTTTTGATCCTTACATGAATTGTCTATTGTCCTTTCCTTTGACCTGCTTCATTACTACCATTTTTTTGCTGTTTCAAACTTTTCGATCTCTCTCTAGTACTGTGCATCTAATTTTATCATGTTACTCTCTAGAACTACCACACACTAACAGATCATCAAAATATATAATATATCAGCAATATCTCCAAAATACCTTATCATTAGTTTTTGAAAATTTCAAACATCATCCACAGACCAAATTATAGATATATGGAACTGTAAGGTCCATAGAGACTACCAAAAGTATATAATTTGACAGTTTCCAAATCTAATTCACAATGGTGAAAAACATCTTTTATCCGAGTAAACTATAAATACTTGTAATACCCATATCATATCATACCATCCAATAGCCTATCTGTATATTTTTAAATCATAACTTTTATCTAAATAAATCTAACACTTGTATTCTCATCATTAATTCGAAAATAATTATTAAATTTTAATTCATTGATTTAATTGTTTAAAGAAGAAATACTTTGACAATGATTTTTATGTTAATTTAATAATAATAATAGTAAAATAATTTTATTTGTGCATAGTCTATGTGCTTCATCGATTTGACACTAGCATATTATTTTATAACTAGAAAAAAAATATTTCTTTTAAATGTTGTATAAATTTTAGTTTATAACATAAATATAAAATAATATTAATATTAAATTTACATTTCCGATAAACAGTATATATTTAATGAATTACATTTAAATAAAGTATTATACACATTAGACTTGCGATTATGCAAATTTAATTTGATTGAATGTATTAAAAGAATTATACCAGGTTTCAAGTTTACCACCGACTGTATTGTATACTATTATGTTTTTATAATCATTATAGTTATTAAGAACTCAACAATTACAAAAAAATTTAAATCTAAATTTTACAAAGTGATTATTACTATTAGTTCATTAATATAAAAATTTACCTTCAACATCAAATCATGACCAAATCATTGATGAGCAAAAATACATTTCTCTTCAATATAATTCTCAATAATAATTCATTCAACTCAAATAATCATAAGCCCAAAAATAACTTCTATATAATAACTCTCTTTTAACTCAATAGCGCAAAAATAAACTCCCAATATAATATTAATTTAAATTCCCAATAATAATTCATATTCTTTCAATATCATGTTTCTCTCTAGAACTACCACAAACTAACAGGTCATCAAAATATATTAGTATAACTGATATGAGACCTATTCATAGGAATAGATTACCTTTAGAAAATACTATTCTCTACCAGTTTAGTATTAATTTTATCAGGACATTTTTCTATCCCTTCAAATTCATCTCTATTTTTTAAAATACAATTTTCCTTTTCTGCATACAACACTATAGCTTCATTCTCATTAACACATTTTAATTGTTTAGAATCACATTTTTTAATTTACTTTTTGTTTCAACATGTCACTAATTTTTTTTAAAAGTTGTAAAAGTAAATATCATTTATATTTGTATGGATTAATAATCTAACATTATTGATAAAAGATAACAAACCATAAGAAGTCTACAATCACTGTTGTTGTTCTGTGCTATTAGTGATAACGATTTCTGCTGTTAATAGTGATATCCCATAAATGTTTGAAAATTCAAATGTATTTTACTCATTCTATTCTACTGTTAATGTTTTATGATTAACAAATTTTACGACTATGGATTATTTTATTAATGTTAAGAAGAGACAACAGAAAATACATACATTTTTTCAAAAAAAACTTAATGTGAAAAGTGAGAAAAACAGTGAAGTCCAAGTAAGCATAATGATTAATGGTACACAAGTAATTTTCTGTTTTTTTCTACAGAAGTATAGTTTATCAATATTTAATTTTAATTTTATTGTTTTGATAGAGTTACAATGATTTCAATTCAAAACATCTATTTAGTCAGTCTAATCTATCAGTAAATAGTATAACTATTGATTGTGAAAATATAACAAATAATCAAGTAAGTGTTTGATTATCTTTCTATCATTATTTTTTTATGTACATATGTGTGTATATATGTGTACATATAAATATCTGTTTGGAAACCCGGTTCAAGTTTTTTCCTCCCCAGAAAATTACCTTATGGGTTAAGGTGCCAATTGTTACTTCATGTTTTTCAGTTTTTTTTGTTTTCATTGGTTCCACATTGTATTTGTTCTTTAATTAGGTATGCAGTCAATTACAGTCAATTTTTCTAAATTAAAATTTTTTATTTTTTAGCTTAAATGTAGGTAGTTAATATTTATATTTATGATTATATGTAGCACCTTTGGAATAATGATACAATAATAGTGGCATTACAACTTTTGTACTGTTACCTACCATACCATTTATGACATCAGGTATCTAAATACTACTATGTTTACAAATTAATTAATTATAAAAATATATATTAAAATCATTTATATTGATTTATTCTTTTTTCAGATTGTGTTTATTGATAGTGTAAAAAATCAAGAAATTATTGATTGATTTGAATGGAAATAAAATGTATTTATGCTTTATTAAACACAATAAAGTGCCTATTTTCAATGTAAAAATAATTCCTTCCTACCTCCACTCTGAATTTTTTTGTTTTAATTACAGGTATGATTAATATTATTATTATTTCAATATTTCATATTAATATATAATTAATAAGTAATAAATGATTGTAAATTAGGAATTATTTCCTGAGAATTTCAAAATTGCTAAAATGTCTGAACAACCTAAACTATTTTTAAGAAAACCTCTTGCCAAAGTCAGTAGACATAATTTGTTAAAGGAACATAATTACTCTTTGGGTTTGAAAAAGATTTGCATTATGAAAAGTTCAACAGATTTGACAAATATACAAATTGTAAATAATAAAATGACTTATAATAACGAATGTGATTCTGTACCAGATTGGCTAAAGAATCATAACTTATCAAGTGACGAAGAAGATGACTGTGAAGAGAAAACTGTTTCTCAATTATTAATAATGGAATTTCAAAAAGACTCTGGAAATTCATATAAGGTATACTTAAAGTATCTTGTTTAAGTTTTAATGCATTTTAATCTGATAGGATTTCAAAAACAGCTATTCAAAAATAATGTTTTCAGATTTGCTTTATTAAATAACCATTCAATTGTTTTTAAAAGTCCCAACATATTGTTAAGGTTGTTATTTTTAAACATACAACTATCATATACAATATCTATAATTTTAAATTCCTAATGAATCACTCATTTATTGCTCAATAATATAATCGTTATTTGTAATTGAAGTTGTATGTGTGAATTATAATTAAATAAAAAAATAAGTCATAAAATAATTTTGTGCTATTTTAGATTCAGAGTGTAACCACTACTTATCACCAAAACTTTTAAACCACTTTTGATCTATTATGGAATCTTATTCTTTGGGAGTTTTTTTATTGTCATTAGGGTTTAAATACATGTAGAGACTTGAAACTTTGTAATAATATTTTTATTAGACTTATCTAAAAGTGTTAAAATTTCCACAATCATCTGCCAATTTTTTCTTAATTTGTGTTTTAAAATCAAATTTAGAAGAAAATCTCAAATATTATGTAATACCAAACTGCACTCAGAATCGTTTTTCATCAAGCAATGGCTTATCATTGCTTACAGATATAAATGAAATAACCTTATTTATTCTACTTTCCCAACTTCTCACCTACAACAGTGGCCACTTCCATCCCCAGTATCAGCTCTTTTTTCTTATTGCAGTATTTAATGTGTGTACAACTACACATTATATATTATTATTAGTATTAAGTATTAGTCTTTATAGGTAACTACAATTAACGGTTTTGCATTACATAGAATTACAAAGATAGTAATTTTATACACATGCTATTATATATTTATAACTAATTATTTTAGGTTTGTCCTCCTTTTGATTGGATCCATCTTATATATTTAACTGTAAAGAATTGCACAGAAGAATACGTAACTTGTCAGGATGTAGACATATTTTGCAGGTTTATTTATTTGATACTTAATTTTATTTTTAATGTATAAATTTACATAATGTTATTATTTATAGACAATGGTTCCCATATTATTCAAAGAAATCATGGATTGAAAATATTGTTTCAATATTAAACTGTCCCAGCAATGAATATTTTAACTGTTCATATACAGTTTTTTTTGGTAAATATGTTAGGTGGGCTGTTAATATTGAATCGGTGAATATTTTGGAGGATTCATTGATGTCTATAGTTAAGAAACATGAGGAAAAAATAAAATCAGCAATGAGATATCCTGGTATCTTATATTAACATAGATAATATAATATAATTCATATTAAATTTGCCTACAGTATGTAGAATTTACTAATAAGAATTTATTTAATTTCAGATAAACTACCTACAATATTGAGAGGATATGGTGTGCATTATTTGGGATATAAATGTTTCAATATTTTTGGTTTCAATAATTTGGTTTCCAATAAAAATATACCATTTACAAAAAGGAAACAATGATAAGTGTTACTGTATTAACTTGTTAATATAAATGTAAAAGAAGAAAAAACTTATATATGGATCTACATTTTCATTAGATTTATTCTTTTTTTATATTTATAATTTAAACATTTTTCAATTTAATGTTTAAGTGTACATTTTATATTTCCAAATATTAAAACTTTATTAATATATTTATTTTCATACAAATATTATTATTCTATAGGTAAATAATTGTAAATAATCTAAAATTGTAATTTTTATAAACAGTTGTAAATATTTATTTTTCTGTTACTAAACGTATTTCTATTAACTAATTTTTTTTAAAAAAAAGTGGAATTTACACTTGAAATAATTTAATCTATTCGCCATCAAGTAGTCCCTTTAGATTCATAGATATAAATTAGAACTAGCAATTTGCAACACACGTGTAGATATTGCATTTTTTTTTTTTTTTTTTATTGATATTGTATACAAATAATATTTTTCTTAACCCTTATTTTGTTATAACATTATGTTTAAATTATGCTTATTATTTATATGCCTATATTATTTTTCTGTCATCCTTTACTTTTATTTTGATAGTTCTTAAAAATATTGTTGATTGTATACAATATTTTTAATTTAAATAGTTCTTGAAATATGTGTGATATTGATTAAAAAGCATTTGAATCTATTTCCGTTACCAATGATCTTTAAATTGAGTTACATGACAATCATTAAGTAACACATATTCATACTAGGTCAATAAATTATATTTTTTTGTTAATTATCATTTCCAAAAACATTACTTCATTTTCTAAAAACTATAACTTTTTATCATTCAATTTGATGGGCTGATACATATTTTATTTGTATTTTTATCAAAATGCATTTTCATTCAAATTCGTACTTTGAAGACATATAATATAAACTACTATTTTACGATTACTTTTTATTATATTTTCTTATATTATATATTATATTTTCGAACATTGGTTTTATTTTTTTACAAAAGTTACTATTTTTAAATTATATATATGTGTAACATTTTTTGCAAATTACAATGTATTTTTAATTGGATATAAGAAATTGGCATTTTGATTTTATTTTTACATGTGTATTTTCCATGTTGACTTGAGAATTATCCTCACTTTTGGCAGCTTGCTTATCTACACATTCTGGATGAATCAGTTTTCTACATACCTATCCTGCTATATAGCCTATTGCACAAACCTCATAATTCTCCATTAGTATATTTTCAATATTTATTGAAGATAAATATAAGTTAAGAATTTTTCTTTATCAAAATATTCATAATCATTTCAATCACCTACCAATTACTTTTAACTGTATTTTAATTTTTTTTAGCCCATTGCATTTAGTCAAAAATTGAACTGTATCACATTCAGATTCACAATTTCCATTTTTAATAAAGTTCTAATAAAGTATTGCACATGCACATATGGACTGCTGAGTGAAATTTTGTAGTGTCAGGTGTGATTTTATTATCTCCTTTTGCTTTTACTATTGAAAACACATTTTCTATACAGTCTTGTGTTAGTCTTCTTGTTAATAATAAATCTATCATATACTTTTCATTTAATTTGTTAAATTATAATTTCAAGGCAATAATATTTTATTTCCAACCCACTGTACACGGTGGTAATTTACGAGTTCTATTGTGGACTTTAAGTTTTCCCAATACCTGTTCTGCTTCATTCAAAAAGTTCAATGATCAGAAGTTTTAGTTAATGGATTTCTTTATGATTTTACCTCACTGTGTGTTATACTGTTAAAACATTAAATAAATTATCAAAGAGTTCTATAAATCTTGCTGTATGTATAGCTGAACTTTTCATTTCATTCAGTGAAATTAAAGTCATCATACCAGAACTAACAAAATGGCTTAGTGTTTTGGTTGCTAGACAAATAGGCATTGGTGAGAATGGTGGTATATCCATATGCATTTTATTTAATCGAGGAACTAACCTTAGCTATTTGTTTTTGTAGTTTTTTTTTAGAAAATTGAGTGATAGAATGGAATTAGAACGATCATGGTTAGTATATTCTTGTACGGGTGATTCTGTATTTTGTTATTGCTGCAAATTATTTAATGAGACAAAATCGTCTTTAGGCAAAGAGGGATATCATGATTGGAAGATCATTGCTGAAACTTTAAAACAACATGAATGGTCTCCAAATCATGAAGCATCTTTTCTTAAGTGGAAAGAATTAGAAATAAGAATAAATAATTCAAATACCATAGATAATGTAAATGAAAAAATAATAAAAACGGAAATTCAACATTGGAGACAAGTTATAGAAAGAATAATATCTTTAATAAGAGTACTTGGAAATCAAAACTTAGCTCTACGGAGAACTCACGATAAACTCAATATAGAAAATAATGACAATTTTTTAAAATTCATTGAGTTTTTAGGTCAATTTGACCCAGTTATGAAGGAACATATAAGAAGAATAACCTCCGATGAAATACATACTCATTATCTTGGAAAAGAGATACAAAATGAGATAATTAATTTATTGGCGAAAAAAATTAGACTTCATATACTAAAATGTCTGAAAAAAGCAAAATACTATCCAATTGTTCTCGACTGTGCACCAGATATTAGCAATAAAGAGCAAATGACCATGAGTTTCAGATTTGAAACAATTTCAGAGGATACTGGTGAAGTCACTATAAATGTGCATTTTGTAGATTTTATTCAACTATATGATACATCTGGATTAAATATGAAAAAAGTTTTCTTAGATAAATTAAGAGAATTTGGAATTGACTTTGACGATATGAGAGATCAAGGCTATGACAACGGAGTGAATATGCGTGGAAAATACAGTGGTGTTCAAGCAAAAATTCTTGAACTTAATTCTAGAGCTTTTTATGTACCATGTAACGCGCATATCTTAAATTTGGTTTTAAATTGTAAACTGCTAATTGTTGCCTTGAAGCTGTATCGTTCTTTAGATAAATTCAAGCAATTTACAATTTTTTTTTCTTCATCAACTTACCGTTGGGATATATTGATTAAATATTTGCCTGGTTTAACTGAAAAACCACTAAGTGTAACTCGGTGGGAAATTAGAATGGATGCAGTTAAGGCTATCAGATTCCAACTAAATGAAATATGTGATGCATTGTAGAAGATAACACTTTAACTAATGCATCTGGTATTAAAAGTCGTTCTGAAGCTCAAGGAGTTTTAAAAAAAATATCAAACTTTAAATTTGTGATATGTTTAGTATGGTATGGTCATATTTTAAAGTTAATTTTTTTAATCAAGTTTTAGATACAGGTATTCAGTCTATAATTGAAAGATTTGATAAGCTGTCTGAACATAACGGTTTATTTTCGTTTTTATATAACATATCAATAATTGAAGATGAAAATGAATTGTTAAAACACTGGAAGGATCTACAACTTTCTCTCACTTCTAATGATGGCCTAAACACAGATATTAATGCTTTAGAATTACATCCAGAACTTATTTCATTTAAAAGATGTTCAAGGAATGAAAAAAGTGATCCAAGCAAGGTTTTGGAGTACATATGTAAAAGAAAAATGGTGGAGCTTTTTCCTAACCTAGTCACAGCACTTAAGATTTTACTGACATTATCTATAACTGCAGCTAGTGCCGAAAGATCATTTTCAAAAATGAAGATTATGAAAAACTACTTGCGGTCCTAAATATGTCAATTGCGTTTAGTTGGTCTGGCAACTTTTTCAATTGAAACAAATCAAACAAATTGGACATAGAAGAAATAATAGCAGAGTTTGCAACATTAAAAGCCAGAAAAATAAAAATTATATAAAATTATAAAAAAAGTTAAAATGTTGGATTTATTATTTTAAAGTACTTAAATTTTAACGAAAATGTGAACTAAATAAATGTAATGTTACTTAAACCCGAAGTACACGTGAATATGCTTGAAGATATGGTTAAGGGAACAAGAGGTAAATAGAGAGATCAAAAACGAAAGGGCGGCAAATTTTGATTTTGCCTATGTATACATTTTGTCTAGAGCCGGCCCTGGTGACAGCCTCTTTTGGGCGTCCACTACGTTCGCGGTCTTTGGTGCTCATTTCACCTCGTTTAAACTTTGCATACCAATCAATGATGGTTAATTTTCCTGTTGCAGACCCCGGAAACTCTTCATCAAGCCAAGTTTTTGTTTCAACTGTATTTTTCCCTTCAAAAAGCAATATTTTATCAGCACACGAAATTCTTTTTTTTTCCATCTTTTTTCAAATAACAAAAGTAGCTACACTTACAACGCAATATCTCACAAACTAATGGTCGGACTGCTGTAAAATTTTGACACGTATCATTTGAAGGTTGGTACTAACTAAAAATCATATGTATTTAATACTAGCACCGTCATCTGTGTGTCAGACCGGGGACTTTTCAATTGGCCTTGTATATTATTCGTTATTATATTATAATAAATTTGATTTTCCCAGAAGTTTTCATACTAAATGGGAAAAACCAGAGAAAATAGGAAAATTACGAAGTGCATTATTTTCAAACTGTAAATATTACGGCCTTTCAAAATTTGTATAACCGAACTTTGCTAAGATTCGTTTTTCGTTAACAAAGATTAATTATTACGTACAGCTATATATATTAAATTCCTCTCTATATCCCACCTTCCTAACTTATCTTCAACAATGGTCCATTCATCGTGCGAAGTAGGTCTGTATCTTATTTTAATTTCTTATTTTTTTTTTTTTTTTTGACATCATAACATCCATTTAACTCACTCAATATGCACGTAATTATGTGCATAACTAATTTGTAAGTATTTTATCAATTTAAATATTTGTTTCGTATTTGTAACCTAGTTCTAGTATAATGATACTATACTTGTTTAATTTAAATATATATTTAAAATAAAACGCTGGTAATATCGATTAACAGCGCATCGGTGCCTTCGTTGCCGCTAGCCGTGGTAGTATATAGATGCGCGCGCATCAGTAACTATTGTGTTTGGTGCTCCAATGAGACGCTCGTGAATTGACCCCCTAAACGTACCATCGGTTACGTCATTTATTGATTGCTCACCATACCTTAATAGTGTATACTGAGTATGTCCAGCTTTTATTTCATCTCAGTTCAATAATAATCGAGTGTTGAGTCTTGCCAAAGACAAGACAACGAAAATACTGTGAGTATTACCTATACGTTTCTTTTTTACATATAAAGTATTACAGGTACCTATTATAAGCGTGTAGAATGGGAGTGGTGGCTAAAAGTGCTCCCTCAATATTTCCTGTAACACTGGAAAAAAAATCATGCAGTTAAGAGTAAAATGTCTATCAAATGTCTTTGGGTGGAAGATATACTGAGTGGACTATGTACTATGACTGAGTGTTCATCGTGAATAAGTTAATTCTTGAGAAAGATCAATTAATTGATATAATCTAATAAAGAATGTTTACGTATACTACAATTTATACTTAATGAAAAATAATATAGTAATTACAATGTTAATCTGGTCATGGCCACTAGGTCACGAACACGGCCGGCCCGGTGACTGAAAGATAACATAATTTGTTTAAATTTTAATGTGCTGGGATCCCACAGTGCCCGGCGCATCACGTAATTAGCTCTATGGGTACTGCTCTAAATTACCCGTGGTGCGTTTCGAGAGTTTCGTATCACAAGTCATGCTAAATTTCTTTTGGCACAAAAATCAATATCATCAGGAACGGTCACGCTAGTACGGTACGTGAGGTACAGTACGGTACACCACACCTCACCACTCTCATAACACGTTTATTTAGCCGCTCTGTATCACAGGCAGCACTATGCACCGAAAACAAAAAGAGAAAATAGTGATTTTCAACCCTCTTTACTAGCCACTATTACACTAGGTTCCCCAAATAGTTGCACGATGCCATCACCTACTGTTACGAAGTTTCGGGAAAATAATGTATTTACTTACTATTTTACAATTATAACGAAACAAGTCTAAATATTTGAAATATTATATTCAAATTTTATAAAATATAGATATAACCTAAAATGATTAATAAAATATAATACATTATAGATTTATAGTATTTTATTTAAACTAGATGACGTAGTGACAGCATCTTCAGAAACAAATAACTAATTATTACTACTATTATAATTATTATTATTAATATTACTATATTTTTAATTACCTATTGATGTGTTACTGTACCTAACGAAGACTGGATGTATTTTGATCTACCTTTCCTAACATCTTCTTGTTAAAGACCTTTTTTAGAAGAAAATTATATCTAGGTTGTGGGCAGGTCATTTACGATTGGTAATTTAAATTAAAATTAATTTTCGAACAACTTGTCATCTCTATATTTTCGGGCCAACTAAATCAATGTCAATTTTATTCTCACAGAATACAAATATATAAAATAAACCATAAAATGAAATAAATGAAAAAAAAATAACTGTGTACCATTACAATATAATTTGACTTATCATACGATAATTAATTAATAAATTATGGTAGGACTTCGTTATCTAACATGTACAACAAAGATAGAGTAATTTTATGTTTTTATGATAAATTAATCATAAAAACATAAAATTATATAATATAATACAATATAATATAATATAATATATATATATATTATATAATATAAGAATAATTAAACTTTTTCTTTTTTTTTTACCATAAAGACAATTAACTAAACAATTCGTCTTTTAATATTTTGTAGAAATCGATTCTAGCAACATAACATATTATTCATACGGGTAAATACACCGACTAAAAATGTCGATACCCAAGAATGTTGATGATCAGAATTCAAATTCTAACAATTATCAAGATAATATTCGTTTGGTGAATGAAGCTATAGGGACAACGGCAGAAATAAACATCGATACAGGTATTTATAAAATTTATTTTATTAAATTTGATGTAAACTACCGGTATTTGTATTAATTTTTAAAACCAAGAAGTTGTTAAATAAGTTTCATTCATTAGATATTTTCTTAACAATCTTAAAACCCTAAAAAACGGAGTTTTTAACTACCGCTGAATATCATTTAAAAGCGGATAAAATGTATTATTAATTTTATTGATTAGGTCATCTTAGAAAACAATAAATTTATTTCACTGTAATAGATGAGATGAGTAACTTTTCCTGCCTGTATATTTTATTCTTTAAAACTATTTATCTCATTCTCAGGTGATCCAGCTGAAGAATGGCAATCAACAGGAATAAATTATAATGATCATAGAACAAATTCTGGAAATGATCAAGATGATATTCAGTTAATTAATAGGGCCAAAGGAAACTCGGAAGAAATTAATATCAAAGACGGTATTTATAAAGTTTTTTTAAATATAGTTAGTATTATTTTCTCCGGTAATTTTATTTAAATTGTATACAAGAGTTTGATAAATAAAATACAATTATTAAATACTTTCTTAAGGATATTTTGAATACCATCGAAACCGGTGATTTGCCGACGATTCAATACCAATTAAAAACACAAATAATGTATAAGATAGTTAACTTTTTACGTAATCATTGATTACGAATAGCAACTTCACAATAATAGATAAAATAAGCTTTTTTTCTGACAGCATATTATATATTCTTTATAAATAACTATATTAATCTTTGGTGGTGCGGATGAAGGATCCCAAAAAGCGGGTATAAATATTGATCAGCGTTCAAATTCTGAAAAAGATCAAGACCTTAATTGTTTGGTCAATAATACCATCGGGAACTTCCCAGAAATTAACATCGATGCAGGTTTTTATATAATTTATTTTAACAAATTTGATGTTAAATTCAAATTAAACTATTTATTTTTATATTCAAGAATTCGATGAATAAATTACATTCATTAAATATTTTCATAATAATATTTTAAATACGTTTTTGCCTACCTTTGAATAAAATATAAAATCAGAAAGAATACTACAATTAAGTTTATTGAATATTTAATCTTAAAAACCATATATCAGTTTAAAAGTAAAACAAAAATAGATGAAATAGGTAATTTATAATGTTTAAATCTTACAAATTATTCTAATGTTTTCAGCTGGAGCAGCAGAAGGATTGCAATCGGCGGCCATACGCGTAGTTGATCAGCCTTCAAATTCAGGAAATGATCAAAGGGATAATCGTTTGATCAATATTATAAGGACTTCTGCCGAAAATACAATCAATGCAGGTATTAATACAATTTTTTTTGTTTTTATATGTAAGTAATGGTTAAATAACTTACATTCATTTGATACTTCTTTCAAAAATGTTTAAAGTTCCATTAAGATCGATGTTTTTACCTACCGTTTTATAAAATTTAAAAAAAATATATAGCGTATTATTCAGTTTATTGATGAGGTGATCAAAGAACACAAATATCAATTTCGGTGTAATAGAATAAATAAATAATTTCTGTCTATATATTTTAATCCTTAAAAATAACTATATTAATCTTTGGTGGTACTGATGAAGGATGTCAAACGTCGGGTATAAATGTTGATCAGCGTTCAAATTCAGGAAATGATCAAGATAATTCTCGTTTAGTCCGTAACACTGTGAGACCTTTCGCAGGATTTAACATCGATGCAGGTAATATAACAAATTAAAACTATGTCCAAAATATAAAAAAAATTGTATTTGTCTTAGGTGTTACAGTTGAAAAATGGCAACCACCGTTTAATAATATTGATGATATTCGTTCATTTTTTGGAAATGATCAGGATGATAATTCATTGGTCAATAATACCATTGGNTAATGTATTTATTTTTATATTCAAGAATTTGATGAATAAATTACATTCATTAAATATTTTCACAATAATATTTAAATACGATTTTGGCCTACCTTTGAATAAAATATAAAATCACAAAGAATGCTACAATTAAATTTATTGAATAGTTAGTCATAGAAAACATATACCAGTTTTAATATAACACTAAAAAAGATGAAATAGGTAATTTATAATGTTTAAATCTTAAAAATAATTCTAATGTTCTCAGTTGGTGCAGCAGCGGGATTGCAATCGGCGGCCATACGTGTAGTTGATCAGCGTTCAAATTCAGGAAATGAACAGGGTGATAATCGTTTGATCAATATTATAAGGTCCTCTGAAGGAATTACAATCGTTGCAGGTATTAATACAGTTTATTTTTATGTACAAATACAAAAAAAAAAATTGTATTTGTCTTAGGTGTTACAGTTGAAAAATGGCAACCACCGTATATAAATATTGATGATATTAGTTCAATTTTTGAAAATGATCAAGATGATTCTCGTTTAGTCCGTAACACTATGGGTACTTTCGCAAGATTTAACAACGATGAAGGTATTAATACAGTTTATTTGTATGTTCAAATTATAAAAGAAAATTGTATTTGTCTTAGGTGATACGGTTGAAAATTCGCAACCACCGTTTATTAATATTGATGATATACGTTCAATTTTTGAAAATGATCAAGATGATTCTCGTTTGATCCGTAACACTATGGGTACTTTCGCAAGATTTAACAACGATGAAGGTATTAATACAGTTTATTTGTATGTCCAAAATATAAAAAAAATTGTATTTGTCTTAGGTGTTACAGTTGAAAAATGGCAACCACCGTTTAATAATATTGATGATATTCGTTCATTATTTGGAAATGATCAGGATGATAATTCATTGGTCAATAATACCATTGGGACCTTCCCGGAAATTAACGTCGATGCAGGTGTTTACATAATTTATTTTAACAAATTTAATGGTAAATTCAAATTAATGTATTTATTTTTATATTCAAGAATTTGATGAATAAATTACATTCATTAAATATTTTCACAATAATATTTAAATACGTTTTTGGCCTACCTTTGAATAAAATATAAAATCACAAAGAATGCTACAATTAAATTTATTGAATAGTTAGTCATAGAAAATATATATCAGTTGTAATTTAACACTAAAAAAGATGAAATAGGTAATTTATAATATTTAAATCTTAAAAATAATTCTAATGTTCTCAGTTGGTGCAGCAGCGGGATTGCAATCGGCGGCCATACGTGTAGTTGAACAGCGTTCAAATTCAGGAAATGATCAAAGTGATATTCGTTTGATCAATATTATAAGGACCTTTGCAGAAATTACCAGTGATGCAGGTAGAATACAATTTTTTTTAATTAAGTTTATGTGGTTTTCGAGTAATTTAATTTATTTTTGTTTTCAAAAAGTTGATAAATCAGTTACATTCATTATGTATTCTTTTCATAATATTTAAATTCACATCAATATCGATGTGCATTACATTATTATTTTTTTTTTTTTGATAAGGTATTCATAGAACACAAATATCAATTTCGGTGTAATTGAAAAATAAATTTTTTTTTTGCCTATATATTTTATTCTTTAAAAATAACTATCTTAATCTTTGGTGGTGCAGTTGGAGGATCCCAAATAGCGGACATAATTGTTGATCAGCGTTCAAATTCTGGAAATGGTGAAGGTGATAATCGTTTGGTCAATGATACCATAAGGACTTTTGCAGAAATCAACATCGACACAGGTAGTTTTACAGTTTATTTTTATGTCCAATAAATGGGTATAAAAGTTACAGTCATTAGATATTTCATTTAAAATATTTTAAATTCCATTAAAATCCAGGTTTTTGACTACCATTGAATATAATTTAAAATAAGATAGTATGTATTATTCAGTTTTTATATTAAGTATTCATAAAACACAAATATTATTTTCATGGTAATATATAAATAAATTATTTTTGTATATATTTATTAATATTTTAAAATAATTTATTATTCCTTGATGGTGCAGAAGAATTATCCCAATCAGCGGACATATGTGTTGATGATCAGCGTTCAAATTCTGGAAATGATCAAGGTGATAATCGTTTGATCAATTTATTTGATAATTAATAACATAACAAAACAGTTTATAAACATTGTAAAATATAAATATCTGTCCTCAGTGCTCTTGTTCAAACCCTGCTCCATGTGAACTAGCGACCGGATTAGCTTGGTTCCATAAAGAAATGCCGGGTATTTGACATCCAAAATTAGACATGTCATTATTTTATTTTTAATTATTGTTATAATTATTTATTTTATAAGTTTACGCTGTTCAGTATTATAATCATTGGTATAAAATTAATTTGTGATCAATTATATACAGTCTAGTTTTGATAACTTAAAACTCGATAACTCGAAAAACTTGACAACTCGATTTTTTTTTTTATTCCCCTAGAAATTCTCATAACACTCAATGTATTATAAGTCTTGTTAACTCGAATATAAAATTGTTATAAATAACTTAGTCGAAATATATGACATATTTTATAAATATATTTCCCGTAAATACATTTTCCCGTCATTTTTTTGGTTTTTTCATTTGCTGAGAAAATCAAAAAATCACCTCCCTTAAGGACCTCCCTACACCGATATTTTTCTACTGCATCTAAATAATACATATTATTTACATACTTATTATATTATTATATCTATTTTAGTTTTTGTATAATATGTATGTACATATATTTATCATAATGTTTTTTATCGTAAAATTTTAAAATAATATTTGTTACATAACTCGAAATTTTGATAAATTCGAGTTAGGTATCTCGGTTAATACATATCTTGAAGTGAATTTTTATCTCCCTTCAACCTTGAGTTATCGTGACTTGACTGTATAACTAAATAAGTCTCACGACCAGGCCCCCTTTTTCGATTTTTTTGACCATGGTACTCTAAATAAATGCGCGCCCCATTGTACCTATTTATTACAAATAAATAATGATAACTTCAATTTTACTTTATTATATTAAATATTGATTTTGTATATTATCACTTAATTTTATACTTAAATTTTAATCCTAATTGCATATTTCTTTTTATGCTTATTTTTTGACAAAATCGCATATAATATTACCAAAGTTAATTTTTGAGGCAAGTTTGTTTTCAATTGATAAAAGTGCAAGAGAATTAAGTCCTTTTTGGCAGTTTTATGCTAGCTGATTTTCTAACTTGCTATAAATGTTCTTTCTGTTTCAGAAACGATGATTGGTGGTAGTGTACAAAAAATTCTTAAAGCAATAGTAGTATTTATAAAAATAACTTTGCTCAGTTTTAGTCAATCATCGAAATTATAATGGTTTGCATTAATAGTTTGTTGGCGGATATCGTACGGAAGCCATAAGCCAAGATCGGTTAAATTTGTACTTTTTATTTCACGCGAAGAACTGGTATTTGACTTTCCATGTTCTTGAATTTTACCTTAGAAATATCATAAGATTGTTCAGGAATATTACTTTCTAATACTTCGTTTTTATGTTGAATGATGTCCACAGAATATGTAATTTTTTCTGTTACTTTTGTTTAAAAAATTGTACTTATTACCTGAATATTTGAAACTGGTTGTTTTTTGTCATTTTTAATTTTAATTTTAATATTTGAGGTCAAGATTTATGTTTATAAAATGAATATATTTTCGTGTTCGTGTATTATATATACATATACACTACGAAATAATCAAATAATTAAACTTATACATATAATTATTAGAGATAAGGAGACTTGCGTAACCTAAAGGTATCTAATATTAGTTTAGATAAAACTGCTTATATCACATTCTTATATGTGTTGAATAATAATAACATTAATAACTAATGAAAAAAAATATATATATTTCTTATTCATTATATATTATATTATTTTTCCGGATCCCTTGTAAGTCCGGACCTCCGGACTTATTCACTGACACCCTTTTGCAAGGGCAATGGTCACGACAGGAATACTTTAAATTTTTTAAATCATTTTTAAACTCATTGAATATAACTATTGTATACTTCATATATTCTTTAAAATGTGTGCCAATTTAAATAAAATATATCATTATAAATTATAAATTTGTTTTTTATTTTATTATTAATTATTATTATTATAAGTGTAAGTACCTACTCATTATTATAGTATAGATATTAGATATAACAAAAATTATGTTCATTACAGCTGTGATTATATTCACATTTCATTCTATTAAATATTCAAAAGCATAATAATTATTTCAGAAATGGTAGGTAACAGATATTTTTAATTATTTTTGGTTGATAAACTTATACAATTACGATATGATATAAACGGGTCATAATAATAATAAATCATCACAAATTTTTTTTTTTTAACTATTTAAGAGTATACATAGTATACCTCTCAATATTTCATATTATATTGAGAGTACCTTTATGGCCATGACGTATAATATGTAGTAATACTACATTGTAGAACACGTATGAGAACATTACTGAATTTATAAATTATAAATAATGGAAAAAACGTACTAACCTAAAAAAAACTTCAGGATATTTAATGCAGATAAAATCTTTATCAAATTTTACATAATTAAAGTATTTAATTATAAAATGGTTCAAGTTGTCAGGAGAAAATTTTAAAGCTATTAAAACCCTCGATATGACCAGTTATAGTAGAAGTAGTAGACCCAACCTACAGTAATTTGGACTGCATACAAATCACCTTTCAGAAAAGGTACTACACTTAATACATCCGAACAAGATTTCTTTTTGAAAAATTGTATACAGACCGTGAAAAAAATCGCACATAATAAAACCAATAGATCTTTCGCTCCGTTCCGAATCTAATTATACATATTACATACATATACATTGCAATTACTTTAAATATATGTACCGGTGTCAGTTGCATGTGATTGTTGAATTTAATTAATAAATTTAATTAATGAAACTAAAATTGTTTTATGAGTCAAAAAACCAAGATTTTCTTTGACATTATATCTATCATTGTTTAGAAATGTATGTTCCTGATATGCGATTATTTAGATATGTGCCAATCTTACACCAGACACTGTCTGTAGCTACATCAACTTTTAGTAATTATAGTTTATTTAAATGAAAATAATAACAGAGGAAGTCACTGTCATGTATGTGTTAAATTTGAAATCAATGATGAATCAGATAGAAAAAATGATTGTGAGCGAAGACGGTCTGTCAGCCTTTTTACTGAGTATATTTTATGATATTGCTATGAAAGTCATTTATTTTGATCATAATATTTTATAATTTATAATAGTAAATTAATTAAAAATCATAATAAACTATCTAGGTTAAATTAAAATTTTGCGAAAACATTGAATTTTAAAATATCATTATGTAAATAAAATATAACAATATGCTTAAAAAGTTTCAAGTACCCACGAATAATATTATTAAAATACAAAAAAATTAACTAGAACTGGTGTTCTTCATTTAGATATCTAATTTCATCCGAAATTTAACTTAAAATATCTATAAAAAAAAAACTGTGTTTATGTATTTTTTAAATTTTTTGTTGATGTTGTAGTAGTAAAAAACTAATAAAATTGATTGCACTAAAAAATACCTACATTAGTTCCTAACCAACGATTTTCAAATAATTCCTCAACAATTGCATTATATGTGCTGGGGCTCTATCTTGTTGAAAAATCAAAATGTTTCTTGTTGCAAGAGCAATATCGGATAGTACAGGAGTTCTCAAACTGTGAGGTGCGAGGTAAATATTGATATTTTTGAATAAAAAATAATTTCATTGAAACGCGATTTTGTAATCAAATAATCATATTTATGTGACATTTTTGAAAAACATAATTTTTCCCACACATCTTTACAAGGTAAAGATATTCATATTCTTCAATTATATGACTAAGTGAATTAAATTTCTCTCTCTTATGAAAATAACTATGTAATGTGCATGGGTTTTCTCACGGAGGAGGGGAGAGATATAGAGGATGGTTTACCTCCATTGTCCAGTTTTTTTTAGATAATATGGAGTTTCCTTTTACTGATATTTCATGATAATAATCAAATAAATAAATATAATAAACATTTGTTTGGCTCATTATCATTTTCCACAATATTCGTATACAGATTATCTTATAACATTTTCTATATGATTTGTGAGGCACCCAAAAATGGAAAATTAAAAATGAAATCATTAAAGAACCCATCTAAAGAATATTTCCTTTTAGAAATGATGCCACAAGCACATATTGGAGCAAAATGGCTGATAGAATTTTTGTACACAGTATAAAATAATTAAAAGAAAGCATAATCAAACCAATACATTTCTTCCTAAGAATAAATTTATTTCTTATCTAAGAAATACACATACCATAGTAAAACCAATAATATTAAAATACATAATTGTAATCAAATAAAAAACTATAAATAGATATAAATAATCATAATATATTAATTGTTTTACAATATGTTTGTGATTTTTAGTTGTCTTAGATTTTACAAAACTATTTAGTTTTACTTGATTGTTTTATCATTATAAGCCTATGAGTATAAAAAGTCCAATTTGATATAAAAGAGAATAGTGCACATTAACCATGATAAAAATTTAATATAATAATCCAAAATAATATATGAGTATATATAATAGAAAAATACAAATACAAAGGCTATACATAATTAGTTAGTTAATAATGTAATGTGGAACATTTTATCCAAGCACAAAGAACAATATGTTGAATTTTTATTTTAAAACTAAATTTTTTCGATAAAATAGTAAAAATATACAGGCTATCTATATGAAGATATACCCTTTGAATATCTCGAGATATAATAAAGATAATCAAACTGTTTTTTTTCATATTACTCACAGCGAAGAGGACTATAAATATTTATATTTTAATTGACTCTTTTTTGTTAAAAAAATTTAAAAAAAACTTTTTATTTTATTGTTTTCTGTAAATATTAGCCTTTAAAGAATGGCTATTTTAAAATTTTCCAAAAAATTTCTAAATTTTTTTTAATGAAAAAAAACTGATTCAAATATAAATATTCCTAAATAGTCCTTTTCCCTGTAAGTAAAATAAAAAAGAACAGAATTTGATTTTCTTTATTATCTCTGGAGATATTCAAGGGGTATATCTTTGTCGGATGGCCAGTATAGAAAAGTATATACTTGTAGTTAACATAATAATGTGTATGAATATAATTATAATAATCATACTGAATAATTTTACAAAATAGTGTACTTTATTTTGCTTCTAAAACTGTATTCTTCCAATTTGATATAAAAGTGAATAGTGCACATTAACCATGATATAAATGTAATATAATAATACAAAATAATATATGAATATGTATCATAGAAAAATACAAATACAAAGTCTATATATAGTTAGTTAATCAAATAGTGTGGAACATTTTATCCAAGTACAAAGCACATGTTGAATTTTCTATATAAAAAAAATAGTAAATATATATATATATATATATATATATATATATATATATAATATTAATATACTTGTAGTTAACATAATGTGTATAAATATAATTATAATAATCATATATTTAAAAGTAAGCACCAAAATAATATACTTTATTTTGCTTCTCAAATTTCATTCTTTCAATACTATTATCTGTTTAACAGCATTAAACAAATATTATACACCCAAAAAAGAATACAAAAATTGTTATTATTTATGATCTTGATAACCAATTATTATCAACAATTTCATAAATTATATTGCACTACCCCATCTTTAAATGTTAGTTCTATAAGTTCTTTCAAGACCTATTTCCTCAAGTTAAGATTAGGATATACAGACTGTAACACAAAAATTGGACACCTGTATCAACTTTTATTTTCAATATTTCAAGTTTTTTTTTTTTTTTTTACTAAAAATGAATAATTTTTATTACGAAATACAAGATTTGAAGATCCAAGCCATTTTAATACTAAATTTTAGTTTTATAAATATTGACTAATAAAATAAAATAGAATTGATTTTCTACGATTTTTTGAAGTTTATGATTATTAAAATTGTTTTCAATAGCACTAATAAACAATACCAATTTTGCCATGAAAAATAAATTTGCTAATGATTTTTGTAAACAACAAAAAAAAGATTAGAAACTTAATAACTCATCATTATTAAATATTTTCAACACCAAAATATATTAATATATTGACTATCTTGGATTTTGCAAAATAGATTTTTTTAAATCTACATATTTTTTATTTTATATTTAAAAAACAATATAAAATAGACAGCAGATGTCAGATCCTATCTTTTTGTTACACCTTGTATAATAATACACATACTATGAGATGCCCATTTATTTATTTATTTATTTTTTTTTTTTTTTGTTACATTTTGCATTTATTCAAATTCTGATTTTTAAATTTTTAAATGTAGTTAAACCCTATACTTGAAATAATTAAGTTTTTTACAAAATTTAAGAATATCCAAATAACCATGCTACAACACAAATAATACTCTACTACTCTCCCATTACCTAAACTAATACTCAATCTTTTATTGAATTTTTAATAAAGGTTCTCATTTAAAAATCCTAAGTTGGTACAGACACAGAATACTCCTTAAATGTTGTTAAAAATCTAAGTATTTTAAAATATTGACTTTAACTACACTTAAAAATTCAAAAATCAGAATTTGGCTTCATATAAAATTTAACTAAAACAAATTTCCCCCTCAAACTCCCCCCCCCCCCAAAAAAAAAGAAATTTTTAAGTTTAATTTTGTAAAATTAACTAAGCTCTCTCAATCCTTTCAGAATCTATCATATGATTTAGTAATGAATAAATAATTAGTTAAGTAGTAATTATAAAAATAAAAATAAATAAAATTGCACAATAAATTAATGTAGGTTAGATTATCACAATAATAGGAAAAATAAATAGTAAATATTAAGACTTAAATTAACATTCTGAAGATGATTTTTCACCATAAGTAGCTAAAGTTTGTTCTTCAATGCAGTTTACTGATGAGTTTGTTTCAATTGTTGTTTCGTGTGACAAATTCAATGTTCTTTTAGTGACTCTTTCAAGTTCAGCCACTGTATCAGTATGATATTCAGCCTTTTCCAAAATTAATGATTTTGAACCAGACAAGTCATCTAAATAGTTTGAAAATTATTAACATGATAATAACTATTTGATAATAATATTGTTTACCAGAAGTTTTTGGTAAATTTGTAGTTTGATTAGTCTTTTTGTGTAACAAGGAATTAAAAAAATTAGCCAAAACTCCTTCACCAGCGGGTGTCAATGTGTTAGTAGATTTCGCTGGATCAATCTACACACATAAATTCAATTAAAAAACATTCTTAATGTCATTAATATTCTCAATTAGAATTTAAGAACTTTTCAATGCTAACTTACTTTTTTTGTTGGAGAACCTTGACTTTGATTAGTTAATGACATACGTCTATCACCTGACTTAGACACACCTGTCAGTGATCGCATTACTAAGTCTTGTCTTGGAATACCAATGACTATTTGTTGATTGGCACTTTGGTTTAATAATCCTAACTGTTTATTCAAAAATATTTGTTCATCTTCTGCCTGGATTTCGTGATCTTTGGCAAATACCTAAGAAAATAAATCAATATAAAAAAAAACTAATATTGGGGATGGGTACAGCCATTGTTGTAGGTAGAAAGGTAGGATACATAAAGAAGACATTCCAGTACTCTAAAAAAATGTTGACACCAAAATGTATTTAAAGTAATACTTTGTCTATTTATGGAATTTTTAATATAGGTGTTTCTTTTTTTGAAAAACTCAAGTTGGTCCTTAAAAGTTGTGAAAAATATAAGTATTCAAAAATATTAGCTTTAACTACACTTGAATATTCCAAAAATCAAAATTTGAATGTATGCAAAATTTAACTAAAACAATAGGGTGAACATGTTATTGATCACCTTATTTATAGGGGCAAAATTTCTGGTAGAAAAGTTGATCACAGCCCAAAAAAACCACAAACCTAGTCAACCCAATACCTAGATCCCTCCCTGTGTTCCAAATCTATTTAAGCTGATACTGATGATGGGTGTACCATTTTTACCATTTTTATAATTTACATTAAAATTTAAACATTAAATATTTATAAAAAAAACAATATTACATTATACTTCAGTTTTTTTTTAATATTATTATTACTAATAACAACTAATGATGGACTTCCTGTTGAATTATCCAGTACATTTTCTGAGCCAATACCATTTTATTGAAATAAAACCAAATAAAAATTTTAAATGGCTTTAAATAGCTTAAAATGAATCCCTTGAATGTCCCTAGAATGTTTTTAAAGTAGTACTATGTACAGAAAGTTAATATAAGAATTTTGTAAAAATGTCTTGACAATAATTTTGAACTGAATTACAAAAAAAAAAAAAACCAAAATCAAACCGAATGAAAACCATTATGGATTGATTAGTGGGCGTAACATTAGGTATTTAGTGTAATATTAATATATATTAAGTTTTTAAAGAATATAGATAATACATTTAACATAACACAAACACATTAATTTGTCTTTACAAACCATAAAATCCACTTTGATAGAAAGGAGAGACCAGTTAATAATTTAAATAAACAACTTAAAATAAATTAAATTAAATTTTTAATGGCATATTATTGGACCATCATTTTAATACAACATACCTTTCTAGTATTTACTTTTGTTATAACAGAATTATAAAATTCATCATGTCTTATAGTTTGCATATTATCATAAAGTATACTTATCTTCTTCATACTATCCCATCCTGCTGGTCTAAAACACAACCATACAAAACAATGTTACAATTGAATAATAATAGTTACACAAATTAACAAAACAATAAAATGAAATAATGAAATATTATAAAATATCATTATTTTATATTATATATATTACATTAATATATTAGTTTATAAATTGTATAAATTTAAAAAATAAATTAGGTTCCTATGTCTTATAATCTACAAAAGTTTATTAATTTTATTTAACTGTTATTCATATACCATTATCATTTTTCATGAATTTTAATCTAAACTGTATTGGAAAATATTATAAAATGTCATTATTTTACTTTTAATATATTTATATATATATAAATATCTCATAAGTAAATTACACTTTTTGATCAATGTGTACTTCGCATAGCATTTTTGAACTATATATTTTTATTTTATTTTGCCTACTTTATTTGATAAAACTTTATAAAAACAATGTGTAAGTATATATTGACAGTTAGTTCATTTTACCTTAATATAGAGATACACAGAATATTTGATATAAAAACAAAATGAGTACTAATTAACATACATGAATACTGCATCTTTTTCCACAATTAATGCTGGAGTTTTGAATGGGAAGTTATATATCTTATGTGTAAGGAATTTGTATAATAAATCACAATTCTTGTCCTCTTTAGCAGATGTATAAAACAATGATGCACCATATTGCAAACAAAACTTGCGTATTGCATGTTGTATGAAATCAAAATGTTCCTCTTTGTAATCATTCTCTTTTTCCAAAATACTAATATAATCAGTCTAAAATGAAAATACTTACATTTAAATTGTATTAATATATTATTTATACACAAAATATCTATCAATTATTTAATGCTCAAATCTCTCTAAACAGGTAAATTATTTTTCTCTAATAAGCAAAACATTAGACTCTTAACAACTTACAATATATTAATATTTGTAATTTTTTGTTGTATGCTAGTGTATACAAATGAGATACTAAGATACTGATAAATTATTATTTTGCTTTTTAATAAATATCCATTATCAAAATACATCATAAAGTCAAATTATTATTATTAGCTTTAAATTTAAGATATAATTATATAACTATATAATATTTAAATTTAAATTTTTTTTTTGTTTGACATAAATGACTTTCAAATATGCCTCCTAATTGGATTTTTGTTTTTTAAATAGGTAAAACTATTTTGTCTTTAACAACATTGTTTGAACAAATGTATTATTAACAGATTATTTTTTTTATTTTTTTTCTGTATATATTTCAGAAATAATCTCAAATTAAGCTTTAATTTGATACCTATCAAGGCCAATATAAAAAATAAATATGGTGTAAAAATATTGCACCTCATTATTTCCACTTCCTTTAAACAAATTGTATTTATAAACATCTTATTTGTTGAAATCATTCCATTAATTTATCATTTACAAAGAAACATACATAAACACACATATAACCTAACAGATGGACAGCCAAGACTAAAATCATAACCCTCCATAGAAGGGGGAGAAATAAAATAAAATTTAAAAAGTAGTATAAAAATACAAATTGCAGATAGGAATATAGTATTATACTTTGTATACAACTAAAAATATAAAAAATAAACAGATGCATGGTGTTCATGAAAATCCTACCAGTGAGTAATGTATACTATCTAATTATAAATGATAATGTCAATAAACATACCATCGTTACAACAACAATTATATCCAAGCCTAAATTTCTTGTTAGTACTCCATCTCCTAGAGATGGTTCCCAATAACCATTTTTATCACTGACATGGATATTATCTTCCATATATCCATTCCAATTTTTAATACCTAAAAATTTAAAATTTTATATAATATAATTATAATTAATAAATAAATAAAATAATAACTTGATAAGATAATAGCTATACATTCTTAAGAGAATCATTTGTTTAATAACAATTTTTGATACTGAAGTCCTCAGTCTTGACTTACATTTCTGTCTATACTGGCGAAGTTCATCGCTGGGAATTGGAAGATTGTCAATGTAATCTTGTAATAATGTCGCCCAGCTTTCTAATTGATCCATTATATTCCATGGCGTTTTCATAGAAACCACAAACATTATTAAGGTATTCTTAAAATTTTTCTCAGATAGAGAAAATTTCAATAAAAATGAGTACTTGGGGTTGCCATCTTGTACCCACACATTTAATTTTGTATGATCTAGAAAAAAAGGATTATCAATGATCAGTAATTATTTTATTAAATATGATGGTTTTTGTTTTTTATTTTTCATTATTATTATTTTATATGGAATTCAAATATTCTATAAGTATGATATAGAAATAATAATAAATAATGATTTTTGTGAATAAGTAAATTATAAAAATAAATAATTAAGCATAATTTGTTTTATTAAATCAAAAAATTAATTGGAGAATTTATATACACATAAATCATAATATATCGGTGTAGTAAATTATGAATAATATTATTAAGGAGTAAAGCCTGTTCTTACAATATCCCATTAAAACTATATAATTGGTATCAATGTTTATCAATCAATAGTTAGCCCTAACAAACACTTATTTATTTATTTATTTATTTTATGGATAAATGTCCAATTTCAAATACAGTAATAATAACAATAGTGGATAAAGTAAATAATAAAGTACAATAACAATTGTATAAATGGTATAACAACACACAAAAGTAATCAAATGGAAAAAAACATTATAGAAAAAATAAAATATAGATAAAAACTATTAACATACAAAATAAATATATCAGTCAACTGTAAGAAATCCTTTTTTTTTTTGAAAATTGAATGTGTATATATATTCTTTAATAATATTTGTTTATATTGTATCTATTTTTCCAGTTTCCAACATTTTCCCACTTATTATGAAAACCACAGAAAAATCAAAAAATTACCTTACTCACTCATACCTTCCTTAGGTATGGAAGGTAATGTGATTTACTTAGATTCCTATCTAATTTCTAATTAATATGCAATATTGTTATTAATATACAGAGATTTTAGATTTAATAAATTTATCATCAGATTTCAAATATCCTAACTTATATCAAAAAATACATTTGAATATTACAAAATATATGTTCCCTAGTTAACAAAATTACAACACTATTAACAAACCATCTTTGTAGTCATCGCGAATATCAATGTAAGCATATTCTAGACCAATTCCCTTTGTTAGATCATCAATACCCTGCAACTTTGCCACAAGGGTTGTTTTACCGCACTGGTTGTCACCTAAGACAGTTAGCAAATATGTATAATAATTAACAATTACAGATACCGCCTATACATAATAATGTTCTATGTATAAATTTACCTATTATAATCATAGACTTGTCAGTTGGTAGTCTGGTCCCTCCTTTTTCTTTTAATGAGATCAACATGGAATTCCTGTAATAAACATAAAGGTGTCTTCTATACTTATAATATAAAAACACTATCAAATACCTAAAAATAATTGAAATGTTTTAAAAATGTTACCAAGTCTACAAAAGGCTAATATAAGTATTTTGTGAAAACTACAGGTTTCTATAATAATGTTTAACTGAATAACAACAAAAAACCCAAATGCTATACACTTTGTTGTATTTTATAAGTTTTTCCTGATTTTTTTTAATTATTAGAAAAACTAGATGAAAAACACTGACTTTTCAATTCCAGAAGTAGATCAAATTTTTTTTCAAAATATTTTATTCTTGAAATCTGGCCAAAGAAATTTTTCTAGCAGAAAAATATTAACATTTTGAAAATTTTAAATAATAAATTTGGTGGGCTGTAATTTAAAAAAAATCATATTTTTTGGTTTTTCCCAAATATTAAAAAAACTATTTTAGACATCAAAAAATTACTCTTTCTTTGTCAGTGGATAAATATTAAATGAAGCAAAATCAATATTTTATCATTGTTCATTCGGAGATTTGTATGAAATGCATACTAATACATATGTATACCTTAAAATTTAAACAAAACTGTGTATGAAAACAGTATAAGATTTATAAATAAATCAATCTGTATTCTATATAATTTTTTATTAGAATATATTTATAAATGATCTATAAGTATAAAGTTAGAACTGTATAACAAAAAGTTAAGATTGGTTATTACCACATATTGGTACAGATAAAAATAATTTTTTTTTTTTTTTCATATCACATTATGTTAGATTTTTTGCTGAATGTGATGCAAATTTATCATTTTATAAGCTTGAATTTGATGGTAAAAAAATTGGGTATTTATAAAAATTATTAAGTTGAATCTGACCTGTGAAATAGTGTCAATACCAACTTAATATATACATAAATACAAATTTAAAAAACTGGGTAACAAGAAAATTAGATTTCTAAGTTTACAATTTGTGAATGTACTATATAAGAAACTGCAAAATAGTATTTCACGAGTGAAACGACCAACTTTTTGAATGGTTAAATCTGATCAATTTTTTGCCAATAACATCACAAAATGTGTTGCTTGAATTCATAAATAAATATTATACCCTAGACTTATTATAGACTTTAGTACAGACTTTTTACGAATACAACACTGGTTATAATTTTTATTTGTATGCCCTTAAAGATCTGTGGTCGGAAATTCTATTTTCTTGTTTTCCAACCACTTTTCATAACACTCAATGTCAAAAAATCAAGAGGTCTCATAAAACTTCTTCAATACCTATTGTAACATATTTTCCACAGACCTAAAAGTAAGAGATGAATAAACAGTTGGAATAGCTCACCATAAGTTTTCTTCTTCTTGCATTGTAACAACAGCAGTAGCTCGAATCAGTCAGGTGAAACTAAGAAATTATTATTAACTGCTCCCGTAATAGCGACGATCGCCTTAATTTAAATTACATGAATTATTTAACTTATTAAATAGACACTAGAAGAGTCGAAAAAACTAATATAAAATTCATTACCTACCGCTCTAAAAACTAGTGTTGCAGTGATACTATTATCATAATGATAAGACATAAAAAAAACATCATTTTTCATATTCTGTATGAAGAAAGGAAGGTGTATGAACAAATAGGACGCGGGTCATTTAGATCCCAATTTCCCAACCTTTGGTAACAGTGTGGATCTAGTCGTATCGGGACTTCAAATTATCTTATCTTCAAATTTACCATTTAACGATTATGTCTTTAATTGGAATTCTGGTGATTACAGAAGCATTATAAGTTACTTAAGCAATATTAACTGGTTCAGTTCAATTGATTCTAACTCTTGTGTTAATAATGATATTGATTTTTTATATACCCATATTAATTACGCTATAAAACGAATTATACGGAAAGTTCGCAGACAAAAATTAATATATCCTATTTGGTTTAGTTAAGAACTAAAAATGTTAATAAAACGTAAACAAATTAACCATAATATTTATAAAACTTTAAAAACACCTGAATCTTACGTAAATTTTTCTAATCTTCGAAGTCACTGTAAAATAATTAGATGTCATGATTATAAGAGATATTAATTGCACACAAAACTCAATTAAAATTAATCCTAAACATTTTTGGAATTTTTATAATTCACAATAATCGAATAATCAATTACCTGCATCTATACCGTATTTTGATAAAGAAGCTTGTTAATTTACTTAAATCTCATTTTTCTAGTGCATATAAATTAAATTCACTAATTATTAATAACACTAATAATACTTCCAAACTAGATAACTGTCTATTTTGATTTAACTATGTAATTGTATCTATAATGGATGTTTTCAACGAATTATGGTCTAGTAATTTAAAATTATCTACAGGTCCTGATGGTATCTCTGCAAGGTTCTTAAAAGAATGCTCATTTATATTGTCACCTATTATAACTTTTTTTATTTAACAAATCATTAGTTAAATCATTAAAAACTGGTATTTTTCCTAACATATGGAAATTTTCGTTTGGATCTCCAACTTATAAAAAAGGAAATAAATCATTAGTTACAAAACTACAGGCTAATTTCTAAAATTTCAATATTTCCAAAGATATTCTCTAAATTGGTTAACAAGCAATTATTTCCTTTGTGTGAACGTTTATTTTCAAACGAACAACATGGATCTCCGTCCAGGGAGATCATCGTTAACCTACCTAGGTATTTTCAAACAATTCATCTTTGAATCAATTAATATACAAGCTCAAGTCGATGTAACCTATACGGACTTTGAAAAAGCGTTTGATAGAGTTAGTCATTCTCTTTTATTAATTAAACTAAAAACATTTGGTTTCGACAATCCGTTACTTTCATGGTTCGAATCTATCTTAACCAACCGAGTCCAAGCAGTCAAATATGAAAATCATATTTCCGATCAAATAAATATATCATCAGGTGTCCCCCAAGGTGACCACCTGTCACCATTACTAATTTCTATTTTTATTAATGACATTCAAAAAATCATTAAAAACTTCACAATGTCTTCTATTTGCGGGTGATATTAAAATTTTTAAGAAAATTGAATGTTTTGATGATGCAATAAAACTCCAATAGGATCTAATTAATTTATACCATTAGTGCGGTGAAAATGGTATGTCACTTAATATAGATAAATGTGCCGTTATCGCTTTTTCTTTAAAAAAAAAGTACGCTATTTTTCGATTATAGGTTAGATAGTGTCGATGTATCACGCAGAAATGTAATTAAAGACCTGGGTGTTCTATTTGATTCAAAACTCCCATTCAATCATCATATAGATTATATTAAGAATAAGGCATTTATGAAATTAGGATTTTTAAAACGTATATGCAAGAATTTTAATGATGAGTCGACATTTAAAACTTTATACTTCTCATTAGTACGATCCCATTTTGATTATGCTTCCTTAATTTGGCACTCTGATAATATTACTCAGAATCAAAGTTTATCCTCTGTCCAAAATAATTTCCTAAGATACTTATCATTCAAATGCCATATAGAAAGAGTTTCTCATTAAGGATATGATACTGTTGTAATTTTTTTAGGATAATGTCTTTAGATAATAGAATGAACTCTAAATTTCTCTATAAAATACTACATAATATTATAAACTGTCCTGAACTTCTTGAGCGTTTGAATTTTAGGGTAAACCAATTATGTTCAAGAAATAAATCTCTATTTTATCCTTCACAAATCAATGAAAAATACATGCTATACACCCCCGCAAATGTCCTTATGACCGCGGGAAATTCAATCCATAATTTAGATATATTAAATACCACTCTACGCAACTTGTCAAATACTCTATCCAATTATTTTTATTTACTATCCTAATTTATTGCATTATGTTTTTTATTTATTTATTTATTATAATGTTATTATAGGTTAAGATTATTTTGTCTGATATGTTAATACATGTCTCAATGTATTAATTATTTTCTATGTTAATTTAATTGTTCAACTTAACACTATTATTTATTATTATTAAATTATTTATTTTACCATGTTCATATAAGCTGCATACTGTCAATTTATTATTTTGTAATTGAAAATTTCCGTAAATAAATTATCATTATTATTATTATTATTGTTATTATTATATTTTCACCTTTGACAATTTCATATTTAAATGCTGTATAAATCATATTTCATTGAATATATCAAAATAAAAAAGTTTAAAAAAAATAAATGGTACTTGTTAGGAAAAATAGCCCCGTTGTACTAATTCCAAAAAAAAGTATGAATATTTATTGTACTTATTATTTTAAGTTAATAAAAATCACATGCAATTTAAAAGCATAATGGTCTTATGTAATGAGTGTTATGACTTACTGTGATTAAAAATTCCATAATACTTGTAAATAAACAATAACTAAATAAGTATTTTGGATTTTTCAATGGCAGTAAGCCATAATATAAAAAAAAAAAACACGCTTTTAAAAAATTATTTTTAAATTGCCTGTGTTTTTTTTATTAAATAATATAATTTATTTAAATAATAAGTGTTTAATAAATATTTGTTTTTTTTTTATTATTATTATTATTATTAAAATGTACGTAATTTACGTTAATTTACAACGGGGCTTTTTTTTCTCAATTAAAAAAAACATAATTTGAAAACATTGAATTTTGAATATAAATTTATAACGTTATCACAAACGCAATACAGCCAATGAGAGCCCTCGATTTTCAATGATTCTCTAGCAATGTATGGTATGCTTATAAGCGTACAGTTCATTGATAATTGTATTATAATAATTATAGCGTTTGGAACGAGCCGGACGTGTTTTCATTATACCGTTTTGGCGTGTTCCATGTCTCAAGTATTTTATATCACACGCTGTCCATGTATTTTACAATCATTAACCATTGTATTATCTACTATTTTAGACCATATATTTACTGTCTAATATCAGCTGTAATGATTTTATTTGTTTACATTATTTAAATGAAATAATAACAATTATCACAAAATTCTATTAACACACTGTGATAAGTTGAAACCAATTCAACTTCTTGGTATCATTGGTATGGACGGCATATCACAAATATAAACCAGGTGGTACCCAATATCAACCAAACTGTTCAGCCAATCGGAATATGTAGATTAATGCACGGGACACTGTGCAGAGTGTAATGGAAATCCGGCTTAAGTAATCTGTAGTTGTTTGCTTGCTAAACTGCTGAAGTTGTTTTTCAACAATCAACGGGAAAATCTGTCCCCGTATTATTCTAGTTTTGTCCAATTTTTAATTGTAGAAATACAACAAAAGTACGTATTGAAACAATTGAGGTTTTTTTATTTTTTAAATAAATAAATAAATTGTACGTTTTTGAAAATCTTTGTTATTTTTATTATATCAATATCAACTTATTTTCTTTTACATTGTGAAATAATCAACTAATAATCAAGAACCAGCAATTATTTCGTAGGATTTTAAGTGAATTTGATTTATATTTTTTCTAATCACTATGGAATCGTTTAAGCTTTATTTTAAAACCATTTTTAATTGTTTACCCCTACTCCATATACCTCCAAAAGTATTTACTTTTGATGTTCAAATATGAACCCCCCCTTTTGAACATAGATTTAAATAGAGAATATTTTTCTAAAAATATTGATATGCATAAAACTTATATCAGATTTACCGTTTTTGAGTTATAACAGTTTAAAGTTTTTGACCGGAGGAGTAGGGAAGGGTAATAGATTATATTATTTATTACACTAACTGATATTAGTGTTATGCATGTCAACATTTCTAGAAAAATATTCTCTATTCAAATCTGTGTTCAAAAAAGGGGGGTTCCTATTTGCAAAACAAAAATATGTATTTATTTAAAGTTTATGGAGTAAGGGTAAAAAACTAAAAATGGTTTTAAAATTGAGTTTAAACAGTTCCATAATAATTAGAAAAAATATTAATCAAATTCTTAAAATCCTATAAAGTAATTGCTGGTTCATAATAATCAATCACCCTGTATGATAGGTATCTATTCAAAATGTTTATTTGAACTTAGTTTTTATGTCTTTAAAATAACCTCATTCTTAACTTTAAAATCAAAAATAACCATTGAAGGTCTGTTACTATAATTTTAATTTTTAGTGTCACAAGATGTATACTGCAAGTCAAAAAAGTTACACTATTTGTATGTGATAATAAATTTAAGATATTAAATATTGTATTTCTTGTAGTTTTTTAATTTATAGAAAAACACCAAAATTATTTAACAACATGTTATAAATATTTATTTTCATATTATTTTATCCAATATTTAAATGCCATTTTATGATTATTTTTTTTTAGATTACTGGAAATATTTTTATGTTGAATACATCTTGTTAAAATTAAATGGAAGAATCCTATCAAAATAAACCATATTGTATAATTGGTCGTGGGAGAGGCTTTATTATGAGGCAATGCAAAAAAGAAAATGAATTTGATTATTCCACCAATATTATTACACCTAGAATATTACCACCAAAATCCACTTATATTCCCAAACAAATCAGTGAAACTGATGATTCAATTTATGAAACTGGAATAGATTCTGGTATACATTTTGACAAATTTGATGAAGCTAAAGTTAATGTTGGATCTGTGGAAGTACTACAGAGAATCGAAAACTTTGATTGTATATCAATTAAGTTAAAGAAAAATATTGAAAAGTGCAAATTAAAAAAACCAACTCCCATACAAAAATATACCATTCCAACAATTTTATCTGGAATGGACCTACTGGGTGCTGCACAAACTGGTTCAGGAAAAACAGTAATTAATTACTAATTATATTATATACATTTTAGTATTGTTCTTAAATTAATTACTTATGTTTGGATCAATAGTTTAAATTACAGAATATTGTTATAAGTATCCAATTAGTTATGATTTATTGTATATTTACTCCAGCAATACATTGTTATTTAATACTGAATACCTATTTGAATTGTATTTCAAAAATAGTGTGAATAGAATTAAAATTGTTCACTTAAAACTTAATTACTCTTATATCCAATAATTTTGTTTTCCAGTGACTAATTTCTTGGGGGTCCATATTTTTAGTGTCCCACTTGTGGGTTGAAAATTCACCCCAAACAACTCCATATATTAAAATTACAATAATTTGTGTCTATTACTTTTAGTAACTTCTGAAAACATATGGGTATTTATTTAAAATTATTTTTGCCATTATTTCTGTAATTATTATTAGTTTAATTAATCTGGTTATCAGGCATAGTTCAATAATCATTTGTTATGTACATAATACAAATTTGCTCTAAGTTAGTTGAAGAACATAATTAAATGTAATAATTATTTATAAATCATATTTTCATGTTGATTTTTTTTTTGATTAGATTTAATATTACTTTTTTAATTATAATAATATAATATATTTTTAGAAATGTAAATAGAGTAGAAATATTAATATTATAATGAAGTAAAACTAAATACTTAATATAATATAAATTTGTTAGTTGATGTATTGTATATTATACCTACTTCACTCAATCTTAACAGTAAACATTCAAATATAATTTTTCAAGTGTTCATTTAAAATAATGTTAAATTTGTATTAACATAACTGAGGGGTCTAGTTTTAAAGTGTACAATCTCCAATTTTTATGAAAAATGAGATAAATGTCCTTTTATATGCAATTTTCAGCATTGAATAACTCACTATTGTTGACCAAAATGGTCAAACTCGGTATGTTTTTAAGATTTAAAATTACATTTAGTTTCGAAATGTACAATCTCCTTTGATAAGTATATTTTATGTGTTTTATTATTGTGATATTATTCTTGAACATCATCCATAATAGTAAATAATAATTATCACTGTTACCGAATATGATTCTATGAAATTACATAGTGCACCATACTGTACAAACTCCAACCAAAATTTTGTTAAACCCAAGACAAAATCGTCCTTTTAAGCAAAAACTGGTAAATTATCTTTGCATAACTATATGAAAAGGTTAAAAAAAAATCAGTATAACAAAAAAACATTTTTGATTAAATTATTCGGTTTTATTTTTTTTTTGGTTTTCTGAAAATGCAAGTAAATTTAGCATCTATCTGTAATAGGTACATAATTTTTAAAAATGCAACTTTTACATAGAATATATGTTATATATTTTAAAATAAAATCTAACAAAAAGTAACTTAGTCATTTTTGAAGAGACTGATACAATTATACTAAATTATAATAAAATTATTACTACATTTTATATACTTATTTTAGGTGGCTTATGTTTTACCGATTTTACACATGTTGATAGAAAAACCAAATAAATTATTAATAAATTCTAATCATTGTGAACCTCAAGTGTTAATTATAGCACCTACACGTGAATTGGCTGTTCAAATTCATACTGTCGTTATCAAATTAGCTAGAGGTACTGGAATCTCTACATCAGTTTGTTATGGTGGTACTTTAGTAAATTATCAAAAAAATCAAATTTTAGTAAGTTTTTAAATATCAACTTCTAAATTAATTTGAAGTAAATATATATAAAAAAACAAAGTATATGAATTTTTATATCAAATGTTGCCATATTTTTTAAGTTTCATTGTTTTCAGCTTAGTAGATAAGCATTGTTGTATTAACTGTTTACAGAAATTAATGTAATATTAATTTTATATTTCTACTTCAGCAAGGCTGCCACATACTTGTCGCTACACCTGGAAGATTAAATGATTTTCTTCAGTATGATGTGATTACTTTTACATCTATAAGATTCCTTGTTTTAGATGAAGTAGATAAAATATTAGATTTTGATTCAAAATATGAAGTTGACAGAATAATTGATCACATTTCAATGATTTCTGGTGTGAGTATTACTTAGTTATTAAAATAAAAAGAAAACATTGTTTTAAAAATGAGCTATTAAAATACTGTAGTTGCTGTTTGAAAATCAACAATGGGTTTTGGTTTCATCTCAAAAATAAAAGCACCAAAAAAAAAATTGTAATGTAACATTTTAGAACTGCTTGTTTCTGTCATATTGTAAAAATTAAATTTTTGAAAAAAGTTAATACCAATTATTTTCCAAAATAATGAGTGTATGCCCATTTAAATAGAATTACTTATAGGTGAATTAATGGATCATTGCCATGGCTCAATACTGGTTGACTATTGTATAATCCAACAATCATAACATAATTAAAATATACATTGATTTTATGTATTTTTTGTTACCCATGTTACTACTTAAATTTTATTATTGTACCTACTGTTATTTTAGTATTTATTATTATTTATCAAATACAATTAATATAAAAATATTAACAATTGATTAAATATTATTATTTTAGAAACATAGACAAACAATTATGTTATCAGCCACTTTACCAAATGTTATACAGAACTTAGCAGCATATTATTTAAATACAAACTATGTGTTTGTATCTGTTGGCATTATAAATGGTGCTTCACAAGATATAACTCAACAATTTTATCAGGTTACTAATTGCAGAAAACGTTATATATTAGTAAACATATTAAGTAAAGGTTAATGTTTTATATAGGTTTAATTAAAATATTTCAGTAAAAACAATAAATATTCTATTTTATTTTATAGGTAACAAAGGAACCATGGTATTTGTGAATATGAAATGGACAGCTGATTTTCTTGCCACATACCTTAGTGAAAATGACATTCCAGCTACAAGCATACATGGTGACCGTGCACAAAAATATAGAGAATTAGCTCTAGATGATTTTGTTAGTGGAAAAATCAATGTAATTGTTACAACAGCTGTAGCATCAAGAGGTTTAGGTAAATTATAATAGTCACTAAAATTTAAATTGCAAATATATATATATATATATATATATACAGGTGATTCACTAAGTGTGCTCACCCCATATTTTCAGTTAAATTTTGCATGTATTCAAATTCTGATTTTTGGAATTTTTAAGTTTAGTTAAAGCCGATTTCTCTAAACACTTAGATTACCAACTTTATATTTATTTATTTACTTATAATAACTGACTTTAATTCCAAATTTTAAGAAAACAATTTTATAGTAGTTAGATATAATTTAAATGTTAAAGTAAAAATTGAAATATAAACATAAAGTTATAAGGTGGAAGAAAAAATAATAAAAACACAAAAACTATTTACAGTCAAAAAAAAAAAACAAAACAAATGAAAAAATATAAACATAAACTATTACATGAGGAAATCTATAGTGTACTTAGCAGAGTTACTTTGGGTTAATAATATATCTATGGAGGAGGAATCCATATACTTATGTAAGGAATTCCGAATATGAAAAAAACTTTTGATTTCTATTATAATGAGTATTTATATTAAAATTAATTTGGCATGAAATAAACCGGTAATCAATTTTATTATTTAAAATTTTGATTAAAAATTTAACATAAGAGATATTTTCTTTCTATAAAACCATTGCTAATCTAGATGAATTTTTATTTTACTTTTTCTTATAGACATAAAATTCATTCAACAAGTTATTAATTACGATATGCCTCTAGAAATTGAAGAATACATTCATCGAATTGGCCGTACTGGTCGAGTTGGAAATGTAGGAACAGCTATATCATTCTTCAATGTAAACTATGATTGCCATTTAACAGAGCCTATTATAAAAACACTTTTAGCGGTATTGTATTTATTTTATTAATTAAAATTTATTTTATTTAAATAATTATATTTATTTATTTATTTAAGTTAATTTTATAATTTTTTTTTTTAAATTGGTTTAGGCAAAACAAGAAATACCCAAGTGGTTGCAATTTCTTGGGGAGTGTGTTAAAGATAAAAATAATGAAGAAGACTTTAATAGAAATATAGATTTAAATACAGATATCAGAAAGGTAAGAATTTCTTGGTTAAATATCAAAACATAGTATAACTTATATTTAAAATTAAATTTAACTATAATGTTACATTTAAATATATGTATTTATTTTTATTTACAGAATGCAAATCTTGGAATAAATGCAGTTGAAGAATGGTAAGAGTTAACAACAGTTTAACAATTGAACTCATAAATAGTAATAATACTATTTTATTTTATTAAATTTTTAATGTACTACTTTAATTATATTGTTTATTATCAGTATGCTATATTACAACATAGGTACAATATTGTATGTATAAAACATACATAATTAAGATCCCTTTTAATAATTTTTTATTATTGTTATATAATTGTTTTGTAATTTTTTTAAGTTCATCATTTCGTATTTATATTCAAATTCTTTTGAAACACAAACAATGTTATAATATGTTTTTGCTTGCTTGGTATATGTAATAATTGAAAAATCAAAATATGCTCCATAAAGATGCTTTAATTATTATTCCCAAATGATCAAAGAAAATTTTATAATTCTAATTTATTTATCAATTGTTACTTTCACTATTTTTTAAAATAAATATTTAAAATTCATTATTTTACCAAGTATAGACCAGTTAAAGCTGGAAGCACTTAACACCAAAAGTCAATACTACTATGCATTTAACACATATTAAAAAGATTTTGTAACATTATAGAAACAGGAAAATAAATACTTTCCAATAAACTGTACAATAATGTAACTATATCTTTATGAAACATAATTTATAATTGAAAATTGCAAAAAAACCAATTCATCACAATTATATTATAAGTGCATTTAACATTTATTTCTTTTTAAAGATTGTTTTATTATATACCGCTGTTGCAAATGCTATCTAGCCACTAAAATATTAATTTCTATAATGCTAACCCATAAATCTGATATTAGAGTGATATATATATAAAAATGTCTAAAAAAATATTTTTCATTCAAATCTTTGGTCAGAAAAGAGGGTTCTCATCTGAAAAACAAAAGTTTATACTATTTAAGTTTTAAGAAATAAAGGCAAAAGTTGAAAATAATATTAAAATAAAGCCTAAACGATTTCATTATAATAATAATAAATAAAAAGACATCATATGATAATTGAGACAGATGCAGCCACTGTTATAAGTAATTTAATGTATATCTGTAAGCAAAAATAAACCATTGTTAATGAAAAACGATTCTGAGCGCATTTCAGTTGATAGTGATGCTTTGTCAACAGTGTATATCATATTATAGTAAAATAATTAAATGCTTTATATATTTTCTGTAATAATATTTGTTTAATGTTTTACCGATCTCTCCAGTTATCCTACCTTTTCCGGATTTTCCCATGTTCTTCACATTTGTTGAGAAAACTGGGAAAAATCGAAAAACAACTATTTTAAGGTACCTCAAGGCATTATATATTTTCTTTAATAATATTTGTTTATTATTGTACTGATTTTCCTGGTTTTCTTACATTTTCCCCAGTTTTCTCATGTTTTATCTTAGTTTTTCACATTTGTTGTGAAAACTCTTAGGAAAACTCTGACTAAATAATATACATTTTTTTAATTTTATCTTTTCCGTCACATAACCATCAAACATGGTGATACGAAAAATCTGATTAAAAAATGTTTTTTACATTTACTGGAAAATCGAAAAATTACCTCCTTAAAGTATCTTCTCAGTCAGATTGCCTTTCAAAAAAAGTGCTATAATTTTAAATCAAAAAGAATTAACTGGTAGAAAAGTTTGCCTAACAAATCGAGGAGTATTTTGCAATTACAATAGTCCGAGCGAGTGATAGCTTGGGTCTCTTGGTACACCCAAAATGCATTTGTTTTTTCCTTATTTAGGTAAAAGGAAAAAAAACGCAAACAATTTTTTTCAAAAAAATTGGTTGAACTCGGAACTCCTAAGATGACAACAGGCATAAATAACCATTAGATCACGACAAATATGCTTGAAGAGGTACAATATAAATACATAACATAATATCAGAACTTCAAAAAGCTATAATTTCGAAATTTAGTCCGCTTAATTCTGACTTTTCCATCGTTTTTAAATCGGCAATAAACATATGTTCAAAAAAAAAAAAACATAATACTGGGAATAAGAGCGGTCAATGTTTTGGGTGAGAAGTTAGGATACATAAGGTTATTTCATTTATATCTGTAAGCAACGATAAACCATTGCTGACTAAAGACGATTCCGAGCACAGTTCAGTAGTACTTAATTTGAAGTGTCGTAATTTTTTTTGTGATTTTCGTTTAAATTTGATTTCAAAACGTTAATTAATAAAAAAAGTCCGATGATTTGAAAATTTTACCTCATCTAGGTAAGTACAATATAATTAACATTACTAAGTTTCAAGTCTCTACGTTTATTTATTACTGAATTACAGCAAAAACCGTAAAAAGGCGCCAAAAAGGTATCTTGTGATTTTTCGATTAAATCATTTTTTCTGCTAGGTTTTCTACCACTTAATTGTTTAGTACATAAGAAGCAAATAACAGATACTTCAAGAGAAACAAGAAAATTACTCTTGGTTATACCACTCGCATATAACGATGATTTGGTTGAGGTTACAGGATTTTTATCATATTTTTCAAGACGTTTTAGAGTAGCAATCATATAAATGTAACGTTCTTTGAAAGTAATAAGTGATTCATGTCGATCTACCCATCGTATTTCACAATGTTTTTTTGTTTCTTTGACCACTTATTTTATTAGAATTAATATTTATAGATAAAATAAATACTATTTCTATCGCTATAATATTATATTGATTACATATAAAATCAATGAAAAAAAAAATACGTCCGATGGGGGGGGGGGGCATGGCCCATCTAATTCCCTTGACTACGCCACTGTTCCGATAGTAATAATTGCCATGGAAACTCAATACCTATAACATACCTAAACATACATTATTTGCACAAAATACTTTTTATTTATAAGTTTCATTAATATCACTCATATTTATATAAGTTGCGAAGGTAGTATACAGAAGGGAATTAAATTTATATATCTGTACTCAGTAATTAATAATTTCTAATAAAAAACAAATTCTGATCGGAACTAGGTAAAAAATACCTATTGCTTTTTCAATAACGTGCGTTTACACAGCAAAAACAATTGTTTAAAACATATTAAAACCATACAACTTAGTAATAACAAAAAAATAAATCAAAACGATTATCAATTCAACCTTTCCAAAAGAACCTGCTTTTAGCAAAAAAATTACCTTTCGAAAGCACCTACTATCTATAGAGCCAATAAAATTCAACCAAAAGGGTTTTTTGTGATGTTCTGATTGAATCAAGGGAAATCTCTGATAGAACTTTTGAAGAAGTAATTATATAGGATTCACTAAATCAGATGAAAGGTTGAACACTCAAACTTTCAAACATTATTAGAAATTTAAAATGATCTACTATACATGATATAAATGAATTTGACTCATATGGATTCAGAAAAAATATAGCACTCAATTAAATGGTAATTTATTTGGTTTGAATTATAAATTAATTTAATAATTTACAGAAAAAATATTGAAGATTAAAAGTAAACATTTTTCTTAGATTAGCTTATAAAATACTTGTGATTAATCTGGTCCTATTTTTTATGGATTAAGCTAAATTAAATTAATGGAATAATATCCTAAAAAATGTTGTCTTAAGTTTAACAAAAATTCTCTGTATATTTTCAATTTTTATAATTTACTGCAGTCCAATATGAATATTTTCATTAAATTGTTTTAGTTAAAATTTATATTTGATTTAATTACGTTAGTTTTTATTTAAGCACAAAATTACTTACGGTTTGATTTTTGTCATTTCTATTTCAGCAATCATTTGTAATTAAGCATATTTAGTGAACGGTTTTTTTTTTCTTCATTTTTATTTGAAATTAAAAACTACAAGCACAATAGCACCTGTGTTACATGTAAAACACACAAACACTCACTAAATTTTATTTGTTGAACAACTTAGCAGTTACGTAGAAACATTCATTTGATATAAAAAATGTACTGAAAAATTCTGTGTTGAATAACCGAGTACGATACGTGTAGGTACTTTTATTCGTGTATAATATTATTAGTCGATAACAGCAGCTTCAAGCGAAACGCAAAAAAAAAAAAAAATATTCAAATTCCAAGATAAACACTGGGGACGGTGATCAGTCGCGGCCACGCGGCGCTGTTTGCGAATAAGTTGGAATTCCCCGCCGTTTAGTCATACTACAGTGATTATCTATCTCGTATTTCGATTTAAACTGGAATTAAATATAGATTACAACATGTTTATATTTTTTATTAACTCTGAATATTCGCGTTCATGTACATTATACAATAGCAGTATTTTCCACTGGCCCATTTCTGTCAACACACGGAACGGCCCACCGGAAAAATCTCGGTGTCCCCGCGGGCCTATCCCGGTGGTGTCACGTGCATACTATAAGGAGTGTAAGCGCTGCTTACACTTTCAGTCATAAAATGTTATACGTGTGTTTTTGAATGAACAATTTAAGCGACAATCAAGTTCGAATATTGTAAAATTGTACATTACGTTTTTAAATTTTGGAACAGTATAAGGAAACGACGTACAATAACAACTTTTAAATGTGTTACACGACCAATCATCGTGATATCAATAGAACGATGCTTTTTTTACTATACTATAATATATGGCTTCGTACGACACTGCCATGTTGGAACTCTTATCAGTCATCTTCACTCATTGGCTTCAAACAGTTAAAAGTATTATTATTACTCGATTTTATTTTACATTAAACGTATATTAAAATATACCATTAAATAAATAAACTATAGTTATATTTTGTTAAATGTTTAAAACCCGTTATTCACTATGTCATTCGATATTTATAATTGATGTTTTTTATTTTTATTTTTTATTTGTCGAACAAAATATATTTTTATTTTCAAAGAAAATTTTACATTAAATGCATTTGATGGCTCTGCCTATGTCAGTTTGTATATTGAACGAAAAAAAAAATGTATACAAATGACCAGTGGCGCCGAACCTGTAGTAATATTACGTGTAGTAGCTGCCACACCTAATTTAAGGGGTGGGTATATCCCCTAGTATTGCTAGTTTAGTATAAAACATTGTACATTTTACATTTTACAATTAATATAAGGAACAGCAGATATAATATTAAAATAACGTGAACTAGTCTATTCCTAGACTGCCGTAGTGTGTACTGTGTGGTTGCATTAGTAATAGCAGATAACTATTTAACTATAATTATTTAATTAACAGTTATACGATAAATAACCAATAGTACCTAGCAACCTAAGACAACTTTTCTACCAGCAATTATACGCCCCAATTTATAATGATAACAATTTTACTAAAAGGAATTCGGTGTGGCTGTATATTTTGAAAATGATCTGGATCCTCCCCATGGCAAATTCTTAAATACGCCGCCGTAAAAAGAACACGGTCAGCCCTGACAGTTTTTGTTCAGTTTTTTTTTTTTTTTTTGATTTTATCGTTTTTATAATATACACGCGTTTTAACAATCGCCGTACTGGTAAGACGGTTTTATTTAACATTGGATGTCCAATTAATAATAATAATTTCAAATTGATTATTTTAGTTATTTATTATAAATGTGATGTTTAAACAATTTATTTTACAACGCAAAATGGATCACCCAATAGCTAATTAAATATTATTAAATTAAATATTTAAAAATGCATTGTCAATGAAAGTTCAGTATTTAATAATGATTAAGACTGATTATAGAATGATTATAAAACATTTATTAAACATTCAATCTATGCTGTAAAAGAATTTCGATATTATTTAATCTCGATTAATTTCGTATGGCAATTTCAACGGAAACAACTGATGATTTTCTAGGATTATATAAAAAATAATTCCACTAAAATGTTACATCCAATTTTCAATAATAATATTAAGAAGTATTATATACTAAAAATCGTTTAGAGTACTTAAAAATCACCTAAATTAGTATTTTCCATATAGAAATAAATCACATAATTTTGATTACAATATCCGCTATAACTCTATTTACGTATTAGGATATAAATAAAAGACTTGGATTAAATTCTATATTCGAACAAATTTTATTTTTTTTTATAAACACAAATACAGAGTAATGCATACAAATTTGATAAAAATCAATGATTACAGTTTAAAAAATAACTTCTACGTTATAAACTATGGAGTTTAATAGAACGCGTAGGTACCTACCAAATAAAATAAAATAATTCTCGAATTGGTTACTTTTATAGTGTTA